AGAGCTAGCTAAATAGCATTTCGTTATACCATATACCTGTATATGAGTATAATGACAATAGACTTGAACTTGAACTTGAATAAATGAACAGTAAATGTTTGGAAAAGATGTAAGGATAGGAGTTATGAAGTATAATGTGATGTACCCTGATGTAAGACCAGCAATGACTACCGCTGTCCCATTAAAACTGTCAGCAACAGTTAAGTGTGAATGTGTCTCCAGCCTATTGTTTTGTGGAGTTTCTGGACATTCTTACAGAATTTACAGTATTCAGACTAGTAGAAGAAACATGTTATTACCTGCACACTTTCACGCTGTAAATGGCTTCAGACACATGAATTGACCAAGCTAGCCACCACCTGCAAAACACAGCACACTACAATGAGTCACAAACACATAGGCACTTCTAAGAAGTAAGAAATAAAAAATAACCAGTGTATGCCACAATATCACCATCATTATCATTTCTTCGATCTAAGGTGGATGGATCTGCATAACACAAGGGAACTGCTACCTCACAGCTCCAGGACTTACAGTAGGTTTGATTCTATCTGTGTGGAGCTTGCATGTTCTCTCCAATTCAATTCCATGCAGCTTTTCTCCACTTTCCTCCCACAATCCAAAGACACGCAGACTAGGTGCACTAGTCACTTGTCCCTTAGCCTTGGAAAAGGTAAGTGGGGACTTCTCCAGTGATCCATCAATCCAGGAACTGCTAAGCACTCCATTTGACCCATTTAGATGGAGGAATGCAGAGGAAGTCTGAAGATAGAGAAAACACAGCCAAAGCAGAAAGAGAGTCCTCACAGACACTCACCCGTAATAGAGGACAGAGTAGTGATGGTCCACCATGTATTTGGAGAACGTTCCCACAGGGCCTAGCTTCTCATAAGGGACATGCTCTGGCCAGAATACTGTCCACTGGAACAAAAGAAAAGCTGTGAGCTTCCCCACTGCCCTTACTGTATGGAACAGAACAGATAGATGCTCTCTACATCCAATCCCCAGGCAAATCCAGTTTTCCAACTGCCTCTTTCAAACCAATTTCCAGTTTTGTGGAATTGGAACTGGGAACCCGACTGAAGAAGGAATTGGAATTAGAATGACTCCAAAATTGGAATTTGACTCCAACCCTGACATCAGGTTAATGATGTAGCTCTACTTGCCAAAATCAGGAACGCACCCGATGAGAATTCTAGAGATTAAACCTAATCCAACGCAGTCCAGTTTCCCAGGTCCACAAATAGTCCAGGCTGCATTCAAATTCATCAAGCAATGCCAGGGAAAAGCAATGAATCTGCCAAAGCAAATTTTACTGCTTTCCAGTCAGCATTAGTAATTGCACACTCATAGCCCTTATTACAACCACCAAACTCATGTGATCCTCTGAAAAAAAATGCATTTGTAACGCTTGATTTTTCTAATCTCTATCTCTCTAATAAAATGCCAGTCTTCATAGGGATAAGTCTATTTTTCTGCAAAACTTTTTATATAAAATCTGTCCTTCAGGGAAATGTGATACTTGCCCCATGAACTCTAATTAATGCCATGTTTCACTTACAAATACCTTCAAAAGCTTACTAAAACACACGGTTTGATATGGAAGAGACACTGAGTCCAGTCTTGAGTAAACCCTTTAAATTTCAAGCCAAGTGATTTGGAAACTACCTCTCTAATTTTTCATCATCATTACAAACTTAATAAATTTATATGGCGCGATTAAACCATGTATTAACATTTCCCTTTTTATGCCTTATTAACTACCAGAATGGCTTCTTAAATGACTTCAGGGTTCGTATTAAGGAGTGAGAGAACAAACTGACTAACAAATTGCAAGTCTTGTCTCTGGCTGCATACTGCACATATACTGTACAGTATTGCTGAAATAAACATCATTCACCAATTTTTACAATGACATTAGGTTTTTGAATCACAACTACAACAGGGTAACAAGAATTCCAGTGCATAGCGAGTCGATCCATTTCACGTTTAACTAGCTGCTCGTTTTGACACATAAACAGCGGTGCTTCACATGTTGTCAATTATGTTGTCCACAATCGGCAGTTAGATACTACTAAATGAATGCTAAATTAAAAAGAAGTGGGGAAAAAAAGAATCAGACATTTGTGTTGAGGAATGGGAATGACATTGTCCCGTACACTGCTGAAGAGCTATTAGCAGGAATGTATTGCCCCAGGGAAGCACTAACTCTGATTTGTACCTGGGAATTAATGGGATTACTTCATTTACAATGTGTACGACTGCGAGCCTTTATCAAACCGGACCAAACATCTCAAATTAAACGAGGATTTATTTTTAGGCAAGGGAGCCCAATCAAACTGGATTGCTTCTCATCAACAGCTCCTGTGATTCAGATCACAATGCTGAAGGATCTTTTTTACCCTGACTCAGACAGAAACATTACCATCACTGGCGGGCAGCTGAACTTGACTGCAAATTTAAACTTAGATCAAAGAGCAGCCTCCGAGACAGATTATCAAGCCTTATTGTCTTGCAGCAGGCTTGGTTTGGAGTCAGGACAGCAGATTTGTGTTCTGATTAGCACCGGAATACAGTGATAATTCAAAGACGTCTTAGCAAAGGCAGACTACAGCTTTTTTTTTTTCCTGCCACGCTAATGATCCAACTTTAGTAACAAAAAGGTGAGAAGTCTTTAGCAGAACTGAGCTGCAGCAGCTTCCTGTCCTGTCGAAGGCAGAGCGGTGCTACTGCAGGAATACAGCTTTACAGCAAACAAAAATGAAGGAACTTTCCTTTGTTTCATCGTGGCCATGCTGTAGTGCAGAAGAAGCGGACTGGACCCCCATAGACCAATTTCAATTCTCTCCCTGTACTCACGGTGAACATGCCACACAAGAAAGTGATGAGGACCATCCAGTGAAGACGTGTCCTCCTGAAAAAGGCCCGGTTTCCGACAGCTTCCATTTCCCCCGACTTCTGTGTGTCCTGACTGCTTGCCTATCAATTTCTCCGTAGCTTCGGCTGGCTCTGGAAAAGCCTGTCATATGTATTCCAGGGGAGAAGGCAGCCCCTGTCACGAGATCACCAAGGCCTAATGGTCATGCTGCCGAAATGGGGATATAATGCGCGCTCCTATTCAGAGCTTCCATTCATGATCCGTATAGATACACTTTAATTGCCCCGAAGGAAGGCTAAGACCAACATTTCATGTAAATCATACAGGCCGGTTCATTAGCATGAAATGTGTTTGGGAGCATCTGTCTTTATGGCTGTCTGGTCTCTCACACGTTTTCTCTGCGTCTGACTCTTGCTGCACATGTCTGCAATATACATCGTCTGTATGGGTGTCTGCAGCTGAAACAATGGGTGTGCAGTGTGGAAATCACCCCGGTGTAGGATTATCTACAATCCGCATTGTTTTAAGAAGGCTCCTTTGGAAGGTTTGTAGTAACAGATAAGGTTCAGATAGTGGCGCACTTCGACTTTTCAGAGTCATGGTTGCATAATTTAAAGAGCTGCCTTACTTGAATCCCATGTCCCTTTCGCATTCAGTGCACAAGAACCCATCTCTCATGTTCTTTTTTTAGAACTGATACCGGGCATTTTATCCAAACATACAGCGTAATGCAGTAATAATACTGTATAGCAATACTGGGATCTCCAGTTTATTGTTAACACCGCATCAGTATTTATAAAGGCACAACGTTTATTAAAACTATATCCCAATTATAGCCGTCACACCCAGTAATCAGTTCAGAGATTTTCCTGAATCCAAACCAACTCTAAGAGAACAAAGCTTTCTACAGGGTAGTTTCGTAGACCTCAAAATACTAATCCTGAACTATTTAGGAATATTGCTAATGGCGGTCTGTGAAACTACCCCCAAGAAAGCCTTGTTCTCTTAATTATTTGGGGTTTACTAAAATCCCCATTCCGACGGAATAGTAAGTAATTTTAGGGTCTGCGAAACCACTGACAACACGTGGCCGCGTTTAACCTGAATACTTAGTTTTATACACAGAAAGGGGAAGAAGCTATGGCTGTATACTGAAATTCAAATAAACATTTCACTGCATTTACTAATTAGAAATCTTGCCATCGTTGGTTAAGAATGAGTGTCACAGCTACAATTACGAATTTATGTCTATTACTAGTACCAATAATTATTTTAATCTAGAGAGTTAAAAATGACTACTATAGCATCACGGGTTGTCCGGACCTTGTTTCTGGTTACACAATTCATTTCTCGTAAAGAAGTTAGTCAGGCTCGTTTCTTTCTGTGAATTACTGTGAGAAACTAACCGTGTAATACCCCATAGATAATGTGACTGTTATTATCCAGAAGAGACTGGTTCTCCTGAAATACATGCAGCCATCAGACCGGGCCATGTCGTCTTTCCGGGAATGTGTATTCCTCCTTAACCCGAAATCACAATCCTTTTTACAGGGGCCGATTCAATGGTTGCTCTGATCACTTCCTACGGAAACGGGAGTTCACCCTATTCGCTTGAGAAGCGACCCCTGGTGCTGATAGGATATCTTCAGGCATATCGCATTTAAAAATTCTAGCACTGCAATAAATGTTGTATGTGTATTTTACTGTTCTTACTGTAGGCTAAGCCTACGAAGATTTTGGAAGTCATTTTATTAATGCCTCTGATATTATCTTATACTAAGTATCATGAACTGTACAGTACGTTGCAACGTATAGTTGTGGGTTCAAATATTAATGACGTCCTGTTGCATGCATAGCGCTGTCGCGGTATAATACTAATACAACAAAGTCATAAATTATTTTTAAGATATATTTTTACATAATTCTGATAACCTGAGACATAAAAAAACAAAACAGTGTTAAATATTTGAATTTAAGGGAAGGAAAATGCGTTTGTTAACAGCTCCTTTTGTACAAATAGGTTACGTGCATTATGGTAATCGGATGTGTTCAGGCTGCGTTTCGAATGCAAACAATTGGTTTGGGCCAGAGCACGCGTCGTCCCCAGTGAGCAATTGGAACATTTCACACCTCATCTAATGGGGTGGCTGGAATTCTGCTAACTGATGGCATTTGGCGGGGAGAAAGCATTTTGCAGCAGCTGCAAATGTGTTTTAATCGCGAGAATCAAAAAAATGTGTGGAATGCAGACTAATTCCGGGAGGATGTGCAGGATTGAGTTATTTTAATTTTAATCGCACACCGTATCAATATGTAAGAATTCCAGTGAAACATATGGACTACAGAGAGCTTTGCCTTTTAAGTTGTAATTTGCACAAAATTATGTTTTACACTGCTCCCCTGAATTTAAAAAAGGTACGATGTTCAGAATAGAATACAATTAAATCTATTGCCATATAAAGTTGTATGCAATTGTTTAGGTATGGGTAACATTAACTGTATTGTTGTGAAAGGGTACTTCAAACCACGAGTTTGCCTACAGCGGCGTCTCCATCGCCTTCTAAAGACGTTCCGTCTAGGCTGTTTGGGGTCTCTAACGTGCCCCGCTGTGCTTGGGTACATCTTGCGAAGGACTGGCGTCCAGTCCAGGATTGTATTCCTGCGTGGCACCTTGTTATTCAAACATGAGCAGCGACGCTTTCTAGAATTAACGGCTCTCCTTTGATGGTTGGGTGCGTGGATGAATGGATCAATTATTCCCCAGGGCTGTTAGTACTCGTTGCTGCTAACTTATCAGAAAAACAAAACAACAGATTAGGGTTGTATGATAATGTTTACGAAAAAGAAAAAAAATGCACGTAATAAAGGTTATTGAATTCTAGAAAACTTGGAAACAACTATAAACAAAAAATATTTATGAAAGAATTGATAAATTCATGAAAGTCGTGAAAGTCTTCCCATTAGCTTTTATTTCTCATTTTTTTCTCTTCCGACCCTTTAACACTAGACTAACCTAATTCTAAAATGATTAACACTGTCCCATGGGCCAGGGGAGACGTCGAGTTCTGAATGGACAGCGCAGCTCACTGAAGTAGTCTACGAGCAGTACCTTGGAAAGCTACTTTTAAAAAGTACATTTCGGTTACAAACTACTTGTGCAAGGCGCTATTAAAAAAAATCGGTTACAGTGGTCGATTCAATATATGTGGATAGTTGCTATGTAAGTAATACCGATTGACACATTACCTCTTACAGGCAATGCTCCTCAACGTTTCGAATAGAATCCACTAAATTTCTAAAAGCAACATGCCCTTACACTGTCCAAATCTTTATCGCGTCTTTGGATACGAGGCTGTTTCATAACAAGACGGATTCTTGAGCAGCACGTGTACCATTACACATAAGACACATTCTTTTTGTCTTTTTGTAAGAAACTGAAATCAGTTCTGACTTTTCGATTTTTAATGATTCATACATACTGATACTGAATGATACTGACTTTTAAAACTTTTTTGCTCAAATGCAGTTATTGCTCGTTATTTTGTTTAAAATTCCAAACACATTTCAACGTCACACGGAGGGATCCTGTTTTCCACAACTGCGTCGATAGAAGTTTACCTTTCATGTTTTACACTCGCGTGAAGAGGAGTGTAAGTCAGCACATAAAGGCAGATCCCTTTTTAGTTTTTAGATCATATGTTGTTCAAATTTTCTTACATATTGTAATGAGCACAATGATAAATCAAGAACTCCTCCCTTCTCCCCAAGTGCTTATTAATGTAGAAATACGGTTGGATTTCGGTAGATCAATTGTAACATAAATAGCATATTTCTTCTGACCAGGCTTTGATCTACGCCATCTGTTAATGGTTGTAATTGCGTGGTAGAGAGTCAGTTGCATTACTACGAAAGAGCGTGCTTTGGAGGTGTTAACGATCTACAACATTCCTTCTGGAAGGCTTTGCGAAGTGTTCCGATGGTTAAAATTCCACAGATACGGGTGTCTTTTTCGCACGTGGTTCGTTTCTAAAATCGTAATGAAACGCTCGTACGAGGAAGACAGTTTTGAGAACATTGCGAAATGATTGCAGTGGGTACTAAAACAATATATGAGATAATGTCAGATGTGCTTTGTCTCTGTGGGAAATATTTCAATTAGATTGTTAGATGGGATTCTCGGTGCTCAAGCCAGGGAACATTTCTTTAGATAGTGGAAAATAAAGGGGGTGTATGTGACACACTTACTCTATAAATGAGTTTTGGGAGACAAAAACAATGCTAAATCTGGGTAGCAGATCTAATGCAAAAACAATTCTGATGCAAAAAAGGCGCTGAACTGATTTAGATATGGGCCGTAAAAGCTCTGCGTTAAGAATGAGCTCTGAGGTACCTAACTGCATGACATCCAGATTTCAGCACTAAAATACTATCATGAAATCACCATGATGACCAGGTAACTTGCAAATGGGCTCTGTACCTTTGTGTTACCAATGTAATGGTCTGGCAGATAGGCTGTAAATACTATATTTGTTCTTCAAAAAGAGAAAGTTATTTATTTTGACATTGGAATAATGGGGGGGAAAGGGTTTAATTTAGACCAAGTTTGTCCTCTGCAAAGGCCCTACCTGCTCCAGCCTGGTGTGGAGCCATTGCTGTGCTAGCCTGGGCAAGTCTACCTTCAGGACTGGGAGACAAAGTGGCTCCAGAAGGTTTCACACATTACTCTCTAATCCCTTGTCCTGGCATATATTGATAAGAGCTAAATTAACCTCAATGTTTCTACTGTTTTTACTCCTTGAATTGTCTAACCCCTATCTTTTATTTTCTATTGAAAAGAGAGAACAGAGCCCGTGGAAAGTACAAAATTCACACATCTCTCCTCGACTGCAATGCCGCCTGTTCAATAATCTGGCAATTATTGCCACACGGCAATAGCAAATACTTGCGCCCCTATTAAATTTGATTAAACTATCTGTTCTAACAATTTACCAGTGATAGCACGGACAATCTAAATTGATAACAAAAGCAAAATAAGAAACTGATTTTTAACTTAGCGACAAGTATGTATGCATTTTCAATTGAAAGGAATGATAATCAAAAAATGATTCTGAAAGCAGCATTGAAGTCAGCAAATTCTATGCGTTATCTTTTGTATTAATACACAAGAATAATAATTACTTGTTGAATTCAATGCTGTTTTCAGAATAGTTTTTTGGGGTATTTAAAATATTATACTACAGTGCTGTTTGTTGTAATTATAGTTGTTTTTTTGTGACTTTGGAAGACTTCAGAGATTCCAATTTAAGTTGCAACTAAAATGTTTTACAATTCTTCCTATTTCAAATTACCAATAACTCATTTTCTCTCTGAAATAGTATTTCTGTGCATCCATCATTGCAACTTTTTAAAGAAACCTTTTGGTCCCGGATCAAATCTTACAAACTGAAACGCAACAATACAGAAATATAGAACATACAAAGATTATCATCACAAAATGTTTTCTCTGATGGAAATAATGGTTCTTTTGGGACACAGTTTAATCCAGACTTGTGTATAAATTGTAGTGATGAATCGGAAAGCATTGATTTGGGAATATATTTCACATTCTTCTAAAACTGTGCCTGTATACAGTATGTGTTGTTTTGATGTTCTTCTACTTCACAGTGGTTTAATCAGTATTTTTCTGGTGTCTGCTGTTTGTAATACCGGCTTTTTAAAGTTTAAGGTATAAAAGTTTTTATTCCTTCTTGGGATGCTTGCTTCTGTAAACTTGTAACAGTAACAGCAGTGCAGTTTTTTCTGCTATTTTACTGGTGGCTATGGTTTTGTCATTTTGTCAGGTTTTGAAGCAAAAAGGTTTAAGAATTTATTTCTGTGCTTTTGTATGCAAAATCCCATAATGACCTTTATTATAGCACCTACAATATATATGTTAAGCAAACTATGAGGAACTGAATAAACAACTAGCTTGTACAGGTTGCTAAATCAGCAGTTCTAAATGTTTATTGCTGGACTTGACCCTGAAGCCACAGAACACATCTGAATAATAAAGACCTCAGAAATGCAAAAATGTAAAAGATAATTTTCAAAGTATTTTATTCTTAATTGTGATTTCTTAAAACTGAAGGAGTCCATTCTTAGGGGTACAATTTAAAAAGAGCATTCTAAATGTAGTTTATTTTTAAGTAACGTCTGAAGCATTTCTTTTTCATGTATGTGACATTACATCTGCGTCTGAGCTTGTAATTTCTTCTTTGAAAGGGAGGTGTGGATTCAGGATGGTACACCAGCCAGGTGTGATCTTACCTCCTACCTCCTGCCCTTCAAACAGCCATTTCAACAATAAGCACTTATCTGGGGTCTTTACTTGGGCGGGCGGTGGGGGGGGGGCTGGTCTGTTGGTGGCTGGATATAAAGGGAGGTGACTGGGTCTTCGAGGCCCAGAACACCTTGGACCTCAGACAGAGAATCATCTGTCTCCAGACTACGTGCCTTTCCTGAAGAGACTCTGCTGAAGCTGACAACATGTGGAAGGAGTCTGTCTCCTGCCTTGGTGAGTTATTGATGGAGATCTAAAGGGGATGTCCAGCAGCCATTAACCTGCATAGTTATTTTTAACACATGGGTCTGTAACAGGGAAAAGGGTACCTATGTCAATGTCTCTGGTGATATTTTAATTTATCTTTTGTTGCAATTGCCATTTCATGATATACTGCAGAACTGCATTATATACTGCAATTCTTCTTGGAAATATGTAAAAGCATACCTAAATTTATAAGCCACCTAAATTTAAGAAAGTAAAAACAGTTAACAAAAGTGAAGGCCATGCATCTTGTTTAGGCTATGGCAGCTTAGTGATGTGTCAATGTTAGTGCAAATCTTAAAAGAGATTTTGAAAGAATTTGATACAATCTTAAAAGAATTAGCTTTTTAAAAACTTAGTTAAAGATATCACTTAAATATTTAAAAAAGTTGTCTCTACAAGTTCATGAATGCGAAGCGACATCTTGTTTCTAAAGAAACCGCCAAGCTTAACAATCAGATGTTATCTAATTAATCTAAATGGATGACTTACATTAATCAGTACATGAAATGATTGAACAAATTAAATTCAGAGCTTAGTGGGATGTCTGTTTCATTGTTCCTTGTTTAAAGTCTGGCGTTTTTTTTATCACGAAGTAAACTAGCTTAGTATCAGAGAACAATATCACATTTTCTCCAGTCTGCAGTGCCAGTCTGACCCAGTTCTCTCTGGTGTTGTATTGTTTCAGATGTCTCCTGTCAAGGAAATGTGGATGCCCAGAAATCCAGAGGTGCCTCCCGTAGGAAGAGAACTTGTTTTTCCAAAGATCATGTGGAGCTGCTCAGGGCCGCCTTTGAGAGAGACCCCTACCCAGGAATTACCTTGAGGGAACGCCTGGCAGAGGTCACTGGCCTGCAGGAGTCCCGCATACAGGTACACACTCTTTCTTCGGCACTGACTTTAAAATCACGTCACGGTTTAAAGTGCTGTAGCGAGCTTCTCCTGAGGTATCTTATAAATATTTGACTTCTTTGTGAAACGCACGTTACAGCTCATTGACCATGAGCTCTCCCCACTTAAACTGTGTGTTGTTTGCTTCTTTTCATTATGTTATCACAAGATAAAGCAAGTGCAGTGACGCGTTATCTATCTTGTGAAACAATGGCTAAACAACGATAGCAAAAAAAAAGGTTAATCATAGAGCAAATCATATCCCTGCAGGCGTTCCTGCTTGCGAACGTCTTTCATTTGGGCCTTTTCTTAGCGGTCTCAGAAATAGTGACTAAAACGCAGATGGGCCACTAACATGAATGATGGAAGAAACAAACATCACATTTTTTTTCCTTCTGTGCCTTTCCAGGTGTGGTTTCAGAACCGGAGAGCCAGGACCCTGAAGGGAAAGAGCAACCGGAAGACTGCGGGGAGCTCAAAGTCAGTGTCTCCCCAGGCCAGCCCTCAGACCTCCCTCGCACAAACACCTCCTCTGTCGCTGACGCCCACCCAGCCACACTCGGGGTTGCGGCAGGGACTGGGACAGGATGCCAGTGCCCTGCACTCCTCCTCTGTGCCACCTGCCTCCTTGTACCCAGGCTGCCTGAAGATGGAGCAGGATTGCTTTTACAGTCGCTTTCCTGCCTGTCGTGTCGGCGGATCCAAGGACCTGCAATCGCCCAGGGACACGAGCCACTACCTTTCTGCCCTGGGACACGGGCAAAGCAGAGTTCAGGGCACCATCCCCAGCCCCCCCACGACATGCCTGGGGTACCAGCATGTGTCAGGGGACAGGGGAGCTCTGGCTTCCCTGACACCTCCCGATTACCTTTCCTCCTCCTCTCCCATGGATGTTACCAACTACAGCCTAGGCCATGGGCCAGCCACCACCTTCTCCCCTCAGCCTGAGCACATGTCTGTCTTTGAACAGAAGGCAGGGGGGGCAGGCAGCCTGTCCCAGGCTGGTACTCCCTCTACAACAGGCCTGACCTGCTGGGACGGATTCCAGCAGTCCGCCCCTCCATCCACCCAGTGGCACCAGTTTGGAGGCACCTCGGAATATCAGGGAAGCATGCCTCAACAGCTGCCCCCTGTCCATTTTCCGCTCACAATGGGCCAGCACAATCTTCCAATGAGCAAGCCCCATCAGGAGGAGCCCAGCTCAGGGTCAGCGGGGATGTTTGGTCCCGTGGCTGCTGCTGGGCAGGATCTGGGCTATGACCAGCAAGCTCACACCCTGGAGGAGCTCTTGAGCGGACTGCAGTCAGAATGGTGGGAGACCAGCCAGGGGATGAGCCACTCTGCAGACATGCCCGTTTTCTGAGGGTGGAATTAATGAAGGACAGATGGTGGAAGGATTGTGATCCCAATCGGATTTCTCTCCGTTACTGTGCAATATAATGGAATGTTACTATGCAATATTATGGAGGGTTATTGTGCAATATTTTGGAATGGTACTGTGCAATATTTTGGAATGTTACTGTGCAATATTAAATGTAGTATTATAATTCTTTGTAAGAGCTGGTATCCAGTCCTGCTCAAGCAGGAGTATACGGCTCTAAGGCTCAGGGATAGCAGAATTGTAATGGTGCAAATTTTAGAAAGTCTACATTATTCTGTGCTTTTTACCATGTTAATTATTTTCAGTGGAAAACTGTTTTTATTGCTGCACTTGTATTTAATTAAATAAAGTCTTTTTTCACAAAATACATACTTATCAACTGTTTCTAAATATATGTTGTCTATTGGAATTGGCTAGAGTAATGAATCCATCTATGAATTGGCTTCATTACTCTGCTCTCATCCCCACTGATAGCTGGTGTGTGGTGAGCGTTCTGGCGCACTATGGCTGCCGTCGCATCATCCAGGTGGGGCTGCACATTGGTGGTTGTGGAGGGGAGTTCCCATTACCCGTAGAGCGCTTTGAGTGGAGTGTCCAGAAAAGCCCTATATAAGTGTAAGCAATTATTATTATTATTTTCTAGATCCTGATAATACATAAGACAGTGTCCTCAAAACCGGGTTTTAATTTGTTTTAAAACTAATTTACTTCAATCGACTTATTTGAAAAATGTAATAAAAGTCAGAACCAAAATATAAAATAACATGAATTAATATAGACAGCTACCAAATCTTCGAACATATTGGAAAACACTGTCTTGTGATCCGTTTCAAATGGTATGTACAAAAGGATGCATAATAATATTACTGAAGACGATTATTATTAAATATTTTTAAATGCAAAATTATTTTTAATGTAACGAACTATTAACATTAAACTCTAAATTATTTCCAGAAATTTCATACACTTGCCGAACATGCGGAACTAATGTGTACATGCAAAAAAGATGTTTGTTTCTCACCGGAGAATGTCTGCGCAAGTACTTCCGGTTGCCTTTTCCACATGTGAAAATAGCAGAGTACTTTGAAAAGCGAGGAGGTTGTTGGAGTGTGGTTGGTATTGGAAAGATTGGCAGTACTGGAGACGGATTAACAGAAACCGGAGAGCGGCGATTTCTGAACAGAAGTCGGATCCGTCTGACGGTAAAGTAAAATGCCTCGAAGGTTAAATTGCAACACTTTAAAGCATCCAGCAACTTGGTGTTAAGCGTATTGTATCCTACCCTTTATGGGGAGGCGAGTGACGTAAGGTAGTTTTAAGTTTATATCATGCAAGTATATAATTTGATATCATAGTGTTAGCTTTAACATTGTATTTTAATACAGTTTATCCTTTATTTTGCAAAGAATGCAAAGAAATTTTGTTCTGCGTATGGGACAAACTTCATCTCCTAATTCTTCCTGCTGTAGTTGCTGAAGGTTTCACCACTTCACTGAGCGTTGCAACCCACGTGCATTATTAAGTACAACAGTAAGAATTCGTTTAGATATTATGTAAGTTTTTGTGTTTCATGTTTGCAACGTACGGTCACTCACGAACTTGTTCTGTGTAGTTTCTGTATGTGTAAAAACATAGCTGCTTTGATGTAAAATACAGTTCTAAGACTAAAGTATTGTATTGTAAGAATAGAGTGAGAACCTGACATTAAAAGGCAGCAGTGCTAAGTGTCACAGGACAATGCTGACCTCTTAATACATACACTAATAAAATGAAAATCGCTTGTGGAATCTTTGGATCATAATCATAAGTGAGACTTATTACTTGAACTAGACTTGAAATAGGGTCTTTGGGGAGGCCAGATTGTCTAATCCCTGGGTGGAATTTGGTCAGTACACCAGGGTAAACACCCCTACTCTTTTGATCAGGGCCATGTGGATCTTTAATGAGTAAATAGTCATGAGCTCAATTCTCATCCATGCTCATGAATGTTACCATGTTTAGGCATTGGTTTGGACATTCTGGTTCACAAGGAAGAGAACAACCTAGTGGGTCATCAACGAGACTTATAACAGCAACCAGTACTGGTTTCCAGTACTGCCGAGGCCTTAGCCTTACTTATCCTCTGAGATCTCTCCAGATCTGGCTACAATATGGCAATGCTGCTGTCAGGGCGGGTAACCTTTTTTTAAAACTGATAATAGTATTTCTTAAGAATGTGCAAAGTTTCATTACTGAAATGCATTTAATTTTGTTTGAATTTGAATGAATTGAGCCGAGAGCATAGTAATCCTAAGGATACTTACGATGTCTTTCTCGATAGAATAAAGGGTTCATTTCTGTATGTAAGAATTGTTTTTCCATTTTGTGGGCTTTGTGGTGCAATCAGTATGAAAGGAGATGGGTGCCATGTCTGTTTAGAGACATTTTTTGTTGCGCACAGACAGACTGGAGCTCTTTCAATATCGTGAGACTCCAGTGTTGACGGTGGGGTTGTGCACGTGGCAGGTGTGACGATGGAGGCGAAGGAGCACAAGAAGCACCAGAAGAAGCAGAGTGGCCCCAAGGCGGCCAAGAAGAAGAACAGGAAAAAGCAGGAGGATGGAGTGGAGCCGGAGAAGGATGAGAGGAAGAGGAACCCCAAGGCCTTTGGGGTACAGTCCGTTGTCCGCATGGCCAGGACCTTCCACAGGTTGGTGCTTATTGAGTGTGCAGCTGGAGCCTTATGTTGTAAGTGTTGTAATGAGGTATGGAAGAACAGTGGTTAGCACTGCTGTCTCATATTGCTGGGGCCCCAGGTTCAGTTGGGGACTTGGGGTGCTATCTGCAGGGTTAATTTAATGTTCTCACCATGTTTCATGGGTTTCCTCTGGATGCTCCAGTTTTCTCCCAGAGTCCATAAATATGCTGGTAGGTTAATTGGCTTGTGGGAAAATTGGCCCTGGTGTGAGTGTGTGTCTTGTCTGCGATGGACTGGCGTCCCATCCAAGCTGTATCCCGCCTTGTGCCCATTGCTCGGTGGGATAGGCTTCAGTTCAACGTGACCCTAAAGAAGCAGTTCAAAAATGGATGGATATAATTAGGTAAAGCCAGACATTGACGATGTTTTCCTTGTGGGGGAGTGAGGGAGATTCTTGAATGGGTGTCATGGTTTTGTTGCTCAGAAGTGCCAGGCCTCAGTGAGGTGTTAATGGGTAAAACTTTACTGCACCGACAGAGAATGTGCTGATGGCTTGTTAAAACGTGTTGTGTTTATTCGGACATTTGTTTACACAGTGATACCTGTTTGGAAGTAATTAAGGGGACAGGTAGAATGATGTAAGGAGAGCTGAATGTTACAACAGCAAGAAAACGTTCTCTAGCTCTACAAAGGTCAACGAGAGTTTGCCCCTTGACTTTCAGATTTCTTTCAGATTCTGACTTTCAGAATATGCTTTTACAACTCATGAATAGCAAACTGCCAGTACGCTGCCAGTACGCTCTCAAGGCAGGTGCAGTCAGATCTCCAGAAATGTTCAGGCTTGTGGATAGATGCTGCTGTACCCTAAAGATGAGCGAATGCTTTATTTCAGTGTCTATCTTAGTGTATGCTGCCCAGAGTCCCCTCACTCAGGCACATCCGAATTTATCCATTCCTTTCTAATTCGAAATATTCTGTGCTTTATTGTGCTGTTACAATGTAGTCTTTTTGTCTTAGAATGGAATGTTTTCCTATTCTAAATAAATCCCCAAAATAAAGAAATTAATGTGATGCATCTATATTTTATTTGATAGAGCTTCTAGAGCAGGAGTTAGCAACTTATGACACACAAGCCATTATTTTCACATAAAAGCATTTCAACTGCACACGAAACGAAAGTGGTACATCCAGCAAAAGTTTAATAGGCCACAGAGAAATTAAGTTAAAAACTATAAAACCTATGCATTATTTTAAGCGAGCTAGCCTATTGTTTTCACAGTAAAGGTTGCAATGATTGTTGCTGATAACATCTTTTACAGTTAAGTGTAAGGTCAGACATTTTGGACAAAATGGTGGTTGCAGAAAAAGTAAAACTAGGTTCGCTGATTTTAGCCCCACTGTAGATTGTAAGACTGTAGATTTGTTTAACCTAATGACTTTTGTGATTTTGTGCTTTATGTTGTGAGTGCATTGTTGCACATCAAGTATTGAGACAAAACACGAAAAACACTTCAGGGATGCAATCAAGATTTTTTTTGCCAGATAATGGTCAAAACTACATGAACTGGACTATAAAAATGGATTGCAAAACTAAAGGTTTCGAGTTTTGGAGTTTGGAGTTTGGAGTCCATATGTGAGAACTAGCATCAGATTTTTATTTTGTCAGATTTCAGGATTTCCAGTGCTTTGGCCCAATGGTTCTTTTTCTGGTTAAACCAGGCAGCCTGGATACTAGTGACATCATTTTCAAAAAAATGATTCAGTGGGTGTTGAGGATTTTGAAATGTAGCTAATTGAGTTACAGTGCTCAGACTAAGGAAACCCAAAGTTCTGGGATCTGCAAAACGCATTTTAGGCAACTGAAAGCGATCACAGTGTCTCTACCCTGTCCTGTTGGAAGTCCCTTCTAGTGAAATTTGATTGTTTAAAAAAACTGGAATTGGCACATGTTTTCTCTACTAGAGTCCTGGACTTCAAAAAAGCTCAACAGTTGAGATGAAAGATATCTCTTAAAGATTCTTTCCTTAAATAAATCCCTTCTTTGAGGCTTTTCCTACAAAAAGAACTGGGCGCTGTGGGAGAAGATATTCAAACACTTTAAAAAAAACCTCCATTCACACAGGACTAATGAGGCTTGACTCTGCTCTCTTGACTCTTTTGGTGCATCTGAGTCATCATCTGTATTTTCTAGTAGCGTATGCTTGGAAGTTCCATTTTGCTTCCCTTTTTATTTTACGTGAAAGTACTGTTTTTTGCCCATTCCAATGTGTAAATGTGTATCTCCCTAACTGCCCGACTTCCTCTCTCTCACCTCTGTCTCCCCCCTAGGACCCAGGATCTTAAGACCAAGAAGCATCACATTCCACTGGTGGACCGTATGCCCCTGGAGCCACCCCCTGTTGTGGTGGTGGTGGTAGGACCCCCACGCGTTGGCAAGAGCACCTTGATCCGCTGCCTGATTAAAAACTTCACCCGGCAAAAACTCAGTGACATCTGTGGCCCCATCACGATCGTGTCTGGTAAGGGACCGTTTAAGGATGGCCTGAACCACCGGCTAATTAAAAGGCATGCTGTACTGGTGGTTCTGTCTTACACAGTGCAAAAGACCATGATATAGAGCCCTGTCCTTTTAAAGTGAACTCTCCTTAACATCCGGAATTCTGCAGTTTTCCCCCAGAAGTTATCAACACTTGTCGTATTTCTATCAGCCCTCAAATGAACATCCGCGTAAGACTCTCCAAGACAGACAAGTCTAAAATGCCGAATGCTGCCTATGTCTGGTGGCTCTTTTTCTAATATCATGTTAATACGATCTTTGTTTTTACAATCTGTTAATGTGGCAGGGATCCATGTTTAGGATTGCTACACCTAGTAAGAAGGATACGTTTTATTCTTCAACCAGGGCTTGACAGCATTACCTAGTTTAATATATTTAATTGTACTCGTAAAAAAGTGTTTAATGAGGAAGGTTCACACAGACATTGCTTAAAAACCCCTTCATCATGTGCTGTACTCTGGTCATTTTTTTTTAATTGATCGCATTACCAGACATCATCTTTGTCTTCTCTTTGTGTTCTCAGGAAAGAAAAGGCGCCTCACGTTTGTGGAGTGTGGCAGTGACATCAACACCATGATCGACCTGGCCAAAGTGGCAGACCTGGTGAGTGGGCCGAGGAAAAGGCATCAAGGGAATAAACAGCTGTTGTGTCTTCACAACTCATGGGCTGCTCTTACAACAAGCTGTTCTCAGGGGGGATGAAAGGCACTGTACTTTCTGTGTACTGGACAAGTTTAATTGTCATGAAGTATTTCACCCCTTTTGTGTATAGTATCCTGTTACAGGCACAAGTGAAAAATAAAAACAGAAAATAACTACCATTATATATAACCTGAAACCTTGCTAGTGGATGCCTACAAAGAAGTCTCCTCCTTTGAGATTGACCAGATTTGTTTTGCTGTTTGAAGTGACTAAAATCTTTTTATTCTTAAAAGCTTAAATTGCAAAAATGTCTTCTTAGAGTGATGCCATTTCTCCCACTTATAAAGCAGCTTAAAAAAGATATTGAAAAATATCAGAATTAATTCAGGTAATTCAGGTATTTCAGGTAAGATCACCAGTTCATACATGAAAGGATTTTTGTTTTACTTGTGTGAGACCCAAGAAAGATGGAATTTGTGTAATTCAGCCAGAGCGAGTAGGTTTTTTCAACTGCATTCCTCCCCATCTTATTAGATTCAAATGTTTGAAAAACTGCACAGCTCAGTGTATGAGAGCATATCCAGTGTGATGAATTAGTGAGCCTGCATCTGTGTTATAGACACTGGTGTGCATTTAAAAACTGGGTATTAAGTTGTTTTTTCGGAACTACTCCTGTTGGAATTCAGTGCTTGCTTTTCAAGCTTGCTCTCTCTTAGGACGTCCCTAGTGTTTAAATCACTAATTGTGATTTTAAGTATTTAAATTTCACCAGTCATAGCTGATGAATTGAACAAATTTCATTTGTTCTCAATTTGGAGGCAATTTAAAAGATTATACTCTGACTGGATGAAACTGTATGCAGAATTCCAACAGGAGTACAGGGGCAGCTGTGTGGAGCACTTTAGGGATTTGGACAACTAGAAGGTTGCAGGATCAAATACCAGGTGATACTGGTAAAACATCCATGTGTCGTAGCTGAGTGTAAAAGTAATTAGCTAAATACATTAGTTACTAGAAATTACGCTTTGGGGTGCTAAGTATTGTGCTATCTGCATGGAGTTTGTGTGTTCTTCAAATGACCATGTGGGTTTCCTCAGTCTGAACACATACTGGCAGGTTAATTGGCTTCTGGGTAAGTTGGCCCTGTTGTGAGTGTGTGTGTCTGTGTTTAAGTTTGTCTGCCCTGGACTGGCATCCCATCCAGTGTACAGTATATTCCGCCTTGCACTATTGCTTGTTGGGTCCAGCTCCCCTAAATTAGATGAATTAATTGAAATTACTCTTTTGCTATACACCCTGTGCAGGAAAAGACCCTGAGCAGATTCCAGCTCCCTTAGTCTTCGGTTGAATAGATCCTGTTTTGTCAGCAAGACTCGAACCAGTTCACATGCTGATCACCTCAGGCTTTTAAACTTATGATATCTGCTGAAGGAAATCTCATGCCCATCTTCCAGTCATGGGTCAGTTTGTTCTAACTGCACCTGTCCTTGCAGGTCCTGATGCTCATAGATGCCAGTTTTGGCTTCGAGATGGAGACTTTCGAGTTCCTCAACATCTGCCAGGTCCATGGGTTTCCTCGCATCATGGGCGTCCTCACACACCTGGACTCCTTCAAGAACAACAAGCAGCTGCGCAAGACCAAGAAACGCCTCAAACATCGTTTCTGGACTGAGGTTTACCAGGTGGGTGAGACAGACAGGGCTGGATGTGATTCTGAGCCTTGTCTCCACTTGTCTGGTTAGAGTAAGAGGTTTCCACTGTCTGTGTCTCATGGAGAGCAAGCTGGGGTATGCGAAAAGACAAATTCCTAATGCAAGAAATTGTATATGGCTAATAAAGTGATCTGATCTGACTACATCTGTGGTCCACATCATCCAGTGCTGTTTTGTATCTTCCGTGAAGGTGGGCCAGACAGCTGTGATTGGGAATTTCTAAACACAAAGCCTCTTTTCCTTTCTGTTTAAAAGTAAATTGGAGTCAAGAGGAGATGCAACAGAGGAAGACTTAATAGCAAAATAGTGGTACAAATATAACTGATTAAATAAAGAGCCCCTGTGAGAATATTTCTTAATCATGGCAATCCGGGGAGACAAATAGCAAGGTATGGAGTCTAAGGAAAAAATATAAGGTGATGCTAATAAAGCATTTGCTATGTAAATTGTATGCAAATACAATGGTCTTGAGAGCATTCTTCTCTTTTCCAAAGGATTATATAGTGTGTGAGCTGGGAGATTAAACCTTACACTCAACTGAATATTTGTTTAGGAGGCAACTGTAATTGTATCAATTCTGTTTTGTCAACAAGCATAATGTTTTTGGAAGACTTTCCGATAGCCGTATAAAAACTATCCAGAACCAGCTTTAGCTGTTTTCTGATGGAAGACGCATTTACAGTGTTAAGGGCAGTGAGCGAAATGGGGAGCTCTTTGTGTCCTCATGTTTCTTCAGGTGCCGTTGTGTTGATGCGGAGAGGTTTCTAATCCTGTTGTCCTTTTGCCTGCCTGTCTGCTCAGGGTGCCAAGCTGTTCTACCTGTCTGGGATGGTGCACGGGGAGTATCAGAAGCAGGAGGTGCGCAATCTGGGCCGCTTCATCTCCGTGATGAAGTTCCGCCCTCTGGTGTGGCAGACCTCCCACCCGTACGTGCTGGCAGACCGGTGAGTGAAGCTGGAGAGAGTTTGGGGAGTGATGGAGAGCTGGCAGGGAGACCACAGTACACCATGCAGGTCTTTAATGGTCGCAGTGATTTCAGGTCAAATCATACTGGCTCTGCTGTTCGCTGAGCCCTGGTTTGTTGCCCTCAGTGCTGAAGCTGATCTGAAGAAGTTGCTGCAGAGTAATGTAGCATGTTACTGTTACTTAGAATGGAAATGGAAAGCATAATGATATAGGAAATTGATCCATCACTGGCTGTGTTTGCTACTAAGTTCTAGTGATGCAAAAGAAATGGGTTGCTCTTGTGCTACAGGCTGAGGAAACACTGGCCAACTCAAAGTCATCCGTAAGTTTTGGTGTCTGCAGATTGTACTTCACTGCTCTGGGAATCCCTCACAGTCACCTGAGTGGGTTTGACCTGGATGGATTGACACTGGTTGGAACCAGCGTCAATTGGACCATGTGAATCTATCAGGGCTCTTTCGTTGGTGATCAACTTGGGAACCTGAAAATATATATTTTTGGCTTTGGCTTTAAAATGCTCACAAGTTTTTGGACCTAGTTCAGCAGTGGCAGTTACTCGTTGTATGCTGCTCATCACCATGTTTGTGTTTTCCAGTTATGTGCAGAATTTAGGAAAAGCAGAACCCTGGGTTCCTTGAAATGGGAATCACAGGTCCCGCGGCAGAACTTCACATCTGTATCCAATGTCCAGAGGCGGTTTTGTCGACTCTGGGTTTGTGGAGCTGCTGTGACTTAGTGGGAGTTTTGAGTATTGCTTAGTGCAGTGCCCCACACGTTCAGTTCAAGCCTGGAAGTGCAGATCAATGGAAAAGCAGAAAATCACATGTACCGAACACACGCAACAAAAGATATCTGCAATCTGATCCTTTGTTTTCTCTTCAGCATGGAGGACCTGACAGACCCTGAGACTCTGAGAGTGGACCCTAAGTGTGACCGCAGAGTGTGCCTCTACGGCTACCTGCGAGGGACATACATGAAGAACCAAAGCCAGGTTCACATCCCAGGTAAGTCATGGAAACTTAAAGTGCAGTAGGAGAGAAGAAACTGAAGAACAGTACTAGATAGGCAAAGAATGATGCAGGACAGCAAAAAAAGATGATGAGCAGGAAGTGGGTTAACAAGACAAGACAAGGCAGGCTCTGCTGAAATCCAGAACCATTTTTTTCCCCAAAATTTAGTTTTAAACAAGTTTAAGACACTGCACACTCATAAGATGTTCCAGTAGACTCTAGGGGTCACTGTTGCACAGTAAGAAAATCCAGGTCGATTTTCAGAGTGCTCTGCTGTGATACGTCTTGTCCATTTGTGTCTGCCTTTTGAAAATCCTTGTTGCCGTCAGTCTGAGTTCAAACCAGAGATTTCTAAACTGCGGAGACTCCAGCTACCGTCTGGATGGAGTCCTTTTCCCCTTTTCAGTAACTGGGCCTCCACTATAGAGTTGTTTTAACTGATTGGACGTGCTGTGAGGACCCAGTGTTGTTTCATCGCCCTGCTCTGCAGGAGTGGGGGACTACACGGTGGCCGATGTGAGCTTCCTGCCCGACCCCTGCCCTTTGCCCGAGGAGCAGAAGAAGCGGGCCCTCAACGAGAAGGAGAGGCTGCTGTACGCACCGCTGTCGGGCGTGGGGGGGGTGGTGTACGACAAGGACGCTGTCTACATCGACCTTGGAGGCAGCCATGCTGCCGAGGAGCAGGTAGGACCAAACACCACTTCCACACAGATCTTCTCTCCTGTCCTTCTGCTTTGCCCTGCTTGAGGAACACCCTTATCCTAAAATAGGACAGTTCTATAGAACGTTTAAAGCACTAAATGTTAAAAGTAGGTTGCAAGCTGACTCAAAAACCTGGAATGTCTGGGGAACCTACTGTTGAGAACCCCTATGTGTACGAGTAGAAAGATTTGAATGATTACCGTCCTAGTCTGAGTGCCCACATTATATCTGTTGTTCTTTAGAAACGGTTTCTTTGCAAAAATTGACAGCAGCTTACAAGATACAAATTCCTCTACGGTGCAATAAAGGTACTAGGAAAAGGCAGACTTTCTTGTGGTCTTAGCATTACTTTAAGACCTTAAAATTTAAATCTGAATGTACGTCCTGTGCCCTCTCTTTCTCACAGGACGAGCCCCGGCCCACCACAGAGCTGGTGCAGTCTCTCATCAGCACTCATGCCACCCTAGATGCCAAGATGGCTGCCAGTAAGGTGTCTTTGTTCACGGGCACTGCGGCACTGACGCCAGGGGAGGTCCAGGAGACCGGGTGGGTACTGGGAGTGTTGTACAGCACTCTTGTGCAGTATAATTAATGGGGGTTGCTGCTCACTATTTAATTATATTTGTATTATTATTTTATTTCCCCTGTTATGTTTGAATTTTTGAAGAACTCCTAGTACGAACTAGAACTGAAAGTAATGATCAGACAAGTTGTCTGACCCCTACCACCCTGGTAACAGCATGGTAACACGGTAATGACAGAGTATTAAGCCAGTAATTTGTGACACTTTTCCAATGATTTTACATAATAAGGCTATGTGAAACATATTGCCACTTGGTTGGGTTTATTCCTGAATAAAACCTGTCCCTATAGCATTACCCAGCTTTTGCTGGAACTTTCCCAGTTTGGCTAAGAGCTGCTCATATTTGTTCAGGGATTTCTCAGCTAGCTGTCCAACAAGATTCCAGTGGCTTCAGTTTTACCTACTGAATAAGCCTCAATCTCACGTTTTGCTTTTAACTCTGCTGTTTGCACTATGGGGCTTTCAGTGTGAAGAACAAGTGGTTGAAAATAGTGTGTGTTCTGGAAGACATGTATGTTGCCCTGCTGATAGCTGGTGTGTGGTGGGCGTGTTGGTGCACTATGGCTGCCATTGTATCATCCAGGTGGAGCTACACATTGGTGGTGGTGGAGGAGAGCGCTGTATAAGTGTATGGAATTATTATTATCATTCATCTGTCCTCTGCTGAAATTGGGGAAGTGATTAACTGATTTATTAAGCAACAGTGCCAATCATTATCTCAGAAATTCCTAAAGGAATTTATCATTAAGGAAAACTAGAAATGTGCATGTTATTGCCCAGTTATAACAAGTATATTTTCTGTTGCTATCAGGAGAGAGCGTTGTGTGATTTCGAGAACAGGAAGTAATGGATTTTCTTAACAATTTGTTCCTGTTTTTTGTAATGCGACAGAGAAAGCCAGGGACCCTCAGAGAGCAGAGTGTGGGATCCCCAGGCGCAGAGAGAGCGGAGGAAAGCTGTGTTTGCCGACGAAGAAGAGGATGAAGGTGATGTGAGTGACGAGGATGGAGAGAGCGAGGAAGAGGAGGGCGGCACCGAAGAAGAGAGCGAGGAAGAGAATGAGGAAGGGGAAGATGGAAAGGACCAAGATGATGGCAGAAGAGTAGAGAAAAAGACACGAGAGAAAGGCGCCCCAGTCCCTCTCAAGAGACGACGAGTGGAGGAGGAGGAAGAGAAGGGTGGGGTTGAGATCCCAGCTTTCGCCGACAGCGAGGATGAGCTAGAACTCAGTGAGGGTGAGGAGGAGGAGAGTGATGAGGATGAAGGTAATGAAGAGGAGGAGGGGAGTGAGGGGGATGAAGAGGAGGAGAGTGAAGAGGAGGGAGAGAGCGAAGGTGATGAAGAGGGAGAGGAGGCCAACGAGACTGAAGGAAGCAGTGATGCTGACACGGGGGGCCTGAGGCTGGCTGACTCTGGACACTGCTCAGAGGAGGAAGAGGAGTCGGAGACTGAAGAGGAAGGCCCTGTTGCTAAAAAAACCGACAGCAGTGTTCAGGAGTCAAAAACGAAGCCCCAGAAGGAGACGCAGGAAAACATGGAAGTGGATGGAGAGCTGTGCTTTGAAACCGAAGGTGAGCTGTCTCTTTATTCTTGTGTTTTTCACAGTTCAAGATTCTGAGGCCCAGTTTTCAAATTCGATTAAGATCTAAAAGACTCGATCGTACATATTGTATCCACGTACTGTTGGTTACTTCTTTGTTCACAGAGCAGAGTACTTGAAGTAAATGCTTTCAGCCTCTTTTCTTTTGTCTCCCTAGCACTCTCTCTCCCTTCACTGACTCTCACTAACTTGCTCTCTCTTTCTTTCGCTCACTGTCTCCACCTCAGGTGCTTTGCGGTGGAAGGAGGGGCTGGCACAGAAGGCAGCAGAAGCCTTTCTGCGGCAGCAGCGCACCACACCCAACCTGCGCAAGCTGGTGTATGGCACAGGTAAGTGTGAGGAGCTTGTACCCCTCCGGAACTCGGTATCGCCTCTCCAGCTACAGACATCCTGTGCCTGACATCCCGTCCTGTGTTGATTTCCTGTGCAGAGCCCCGTTGGGCTAAAAAAACTTCCCAAGCTTAGGAGAGTTGCCTATTTTTTGTTTTTGTTTTCCCATCACTGTTCTGAGCCTGGTGGTACAATTCAAACCAGGCCTTGCCTGGTGCATGAAACTTAGGCCTCAGGTGTACCTTGTGTGTGAGCTTGTTTGTTTTTTCTGCATCACTCTTCTGGTGATATAATTTGCACAGAATTCAGGTGCCATGTTCCAAGGCGATGGCAACCATTCATTTGCTTGCTTTCTTTCCCATCATTCTTCTGAATCTGATCATATAATTTAAATATCATTGTGCAACAAGAGCATCTGCATCAAGGTTAGCCATCAAGTCCCACTGTGATGGTGTTTTTTCTGGTCTAGGGTTTGTGCTGTGTAGCATACAATTTTTATCTGTGCCATGTCTGCTCTTTTCAATTCAGCTGCTCTGCAAAACAGTTCTTTGTTACCTGATTCATGCACTGCATTTACACGGCACAGACAGAAGGAATTTTGCATTTCCTGAATATCAGAATTTGGAATATGTCTTCCAAACGTCTGCATGCTCTGTTCACATGTATGTGAACAATTCTAACATCTCTAAACCTGTGCAGCTTGGTCAATGTTTATTCAAAGAGTGATGAATGTGAGTTTGGGGTTTTCTTGTGAGATTTTTGTAAGGTAGGTAGTGTTACAGTTTTATTTCTTTCAGACTTTTCTTTCAAACCAGGTTTCATGTATATTTTCCAGTCAGCTGTGTACTGTGTTTTTCCCAGCTAGATGTATTAGAGCTTACATATCCTTCAAAATGCTTAACAAAATTTAAACAAATTAGACCAAAAGCAGCCTTTCTTTTTTGAAGCCAGTGCCTGTGATTTCCTGCCTCTGGCTGAAGGAGTTGTGTATTAATTTTGTGGTAAAAGCCTTATAAGTTGTTGTGTTGTGTAGGTGCTTCAGAATTCCTTTAGTATATGGAAAATAAGAGGAAAATCTCATCCACAAAATTCAAAATACATAAATTTTTTCAATATTCAATATTCTGAACAGGAGTAGTAATGGCCTTGTTACTGAATGCACTGCTCCTTTTGACAAATCTCACTCTGCTTTCTGGTCGCTACTCAGCCTGGGGGCCTTCGGACAGCTTTGTGAACCCATTGCAGGGAAGTGTAATGAGCCACAGACAGCCCATTTCCCTTCTCACACCTCTGAGAGTGCAGCATCATTTCCCCCTGGGGGTTAATTTCTTCCAGGGGGTAGACGAGGCGGGGGTGTGGCCAAGGGCTCGATTCCGAGCATGCTTCTGGTCAAATGGCTTCACTTTCCCACTGGGGGGTGTAGCACTTCTTACCCAGTGTGCCGCAGCACAGAGGTGTGAACGGCTGTGCCGAGGAATTTTGGAACAGTCCTAAATGGGGAAAAACAAAAAATGAATATATGAAATATGGCTTAGATCTATATATGGGTTTGGTAGAGCGACTAAAGTGTCATCTTGCTTGTTCAGTGAATAAACACAAGATCAAAGCCTGTGCTCAAAGACATGTGGGAGTTGCCGGGGTGGGGGTGCAGGCGCAGTGGTGATTTCTGGATGGCTTAACTGCGGATCCAACCCATCGTGCGCAAGGGGGACATCCTGCGAATGGTGTGAAAGGTGTGCGGGTGAGAAGGGGTGCAGAGAATAAGGGAGGAGAAAAGCACAATGAAAAGCAAAGAAGGTCACCACACACCCAAGCAGAAGAGAGCGCAGACAAGACAGGATATTTAGTGGTATCATACATACAATACATTCTGAATCTGACGGCCATTTTCAGCAGCCTACCTGGACGAGCTTGGGTTTTCAAACCTGAAAAAATGTTTTTCAAACGTCTGAGATGTTCTGAGAGAGACTCGTGCATTACGGCCAGGGTAAGGTGACTACGCGGCGGCAAATATAAAATTGAACATAGAATTTTTGTGTTTGTGTATCATACTACTAATAATCTGGTCAGTGATCTCTATGTGTAGTTAGGGAGGGAGTGGTGAATGTATAAATTTATAGAATTGTGTTGTGGGATGGATAACGGTTGAAAAACACTAGTTGAGTCTAGTGAGCAGTCTTCAGTCTTGGCAGAGCTGTTTTGGAGTGCTGTGTGATGTGGCTTAATAGATTTACCTTGCCCCACAGTGGCAGCTAAAGAGATAAAGGATGAGGAAGAGGAGGAAGAAGAGCTGGGTGGTCTTTTCCGCGTCAGTCGCCCCGAGACAAGCAAGAAACGGCAGGCAGATGGGCTGGACTGTTCACGATACCCCCCGGATGGCATTCACAACTGGGACCAGGAGGAGGTAAGGATCAGGATCAGGAAGAAAGAGGAAATGCAGAGTATTAAATGAAGGTAGAGGAGGTGGGAGAAGGGAGATAGATGGGTGGTGAGTGTGCAATTTGAGAATGGAGAGTGAAGATGCCCTCTTTCTCTTAATTCTGAACCACAGTACATTTGTCTGGCAACCCAGCCTCGCGCCTCACGCCTGATGCAGGTGCTGACGTGGAATAATGGGTATGGGATCATGTGCACAGATTTGCTGCTGGACAGTTACACTCATTTTGATGGAGTTGGTAGTGGTGGCGAAGTGCGGTAGTTGCGTTTTTGGCAGCGGGCGCAGGAGCTGCAGGCGTGACCAATGGTTTTTGATCATTGCAGATGCTGGAGTCTATCAGGGATTGTTTTGTGACAGGCAAGTGGGAGGCAGAGAAGGACGCCTCCACACTTCTGAAGGAGGACGGTGAGTTTCTTTATCCTACCTTTTCCACCCGCGCTCTCTTTCACAAACTCACTGCATTTACATTGCAGTTATGTATGAGATAATTACGTATTTTGACTGGGTGTCTTGTCCCGTGTATAGAGTGCCATTCATGAATAATAATGTACAGCTGAGTTAGTCTGACACATAATATTAGCACTGGAGAAACAAAATCATACACATTTGATGCCTCATTTACACTCCCCGTTTCTGATACCTTAATGTACTCGAGTAACTTCTGTACAATACATTTAGTATTTTTGTTGTCAGCAGGTATAATTGCCCTTTGCTGTTGCAATCTTTCTGTTCAGATGGAGCAGTTAATGAAATGCTAATTATTGTTGCTGTGGTACCATCCATGATGTCCTCCATAACGATTTAGAACAGTTGTCGGGGAGAGCATTTTCAGTTTTTTTCACCCACAGCGGAGCAGGCCTTTCTTGTTGCATGTGCGTATTAACTCTTCAGCTTCTGGAGAATGGTGTAATCTCGGGTGGCATACAATGGCAGTTCCTTCACTTCTAGAAATGGCGATATTCAGCACTCATGCCAGCTCATGCCATCTCTCCTTGTTCCCGTCATCACTGTAACTCCTTCTGGTGGTTCCCATTCTCCCCATCGCCCACATACAGCAGGTCTCCCTGCAACCCTTACGAATCTGTCTAATTGCTTTCTTTGCTCAACGGGTTCTGCCGTCATGTGTCTGCTCTCGGTCACCATGGTGTCCTGTCACACAGCTCTGCTCCTTCGCTCCTTCTCTGTGACTGACTTCTTCCCTCTCTCCCCCCTCCCCCCTCCCCCCTCCTCCAGAGGAGATGTACGGAGACTTTGAAGACTTGGAGACAGGGGAGGTGCACAAAGGACAGCCTGAGAAGATGGAGGACCAGAGTGAGGTGCTCAGTCTACTGTGGCTTTCTTCATTGCTCCTATAACATCAAATAGTAGTCACTTGGTACTCTCCTGGTTCATGTCCTAAAATTCCACACTTTACAGAAACAATGTTGCCAAATTAAAATGCCTGTTGCGGTGGGCCTTCGTGTGAGAAGAGAATTATGGCACTGGGTTTTCTCTGAAAGCTAATTGAATATTTCCTTAAAAGTCAGAGGTAGAGAGACCTATAAGTAAGAGGGAAAGAAAAAATGCAGAAAAGATGGTCTGTAATATGTATAGTTCCTTATTAGCGCCAGCAGGGGGATTATGTACTTGTGCTGTTAACTGTTGTAGCTATGGAGTGGTGTGATACAGTTAGTGAGGAATGGGTGTTGGTCTTAACTGGAGGTTAATTTTAGGTCAAACTGATTAGATCATTTTCTGTGTCAAGAATGAATTCAGAACAACAACTTTGTCAGAGGGGTAGAAACCTTATGTCTGCCTGTGCTATCCCTACAGGAGTGGGAGGGCACTACTGGAATTTACATTCCCCGAAATCTTGGAATTCATTGTACATGATTCACGGGAAAGAAGCTGCTGCTTCCTCCTGTGTTTCTGTCTTCCACTGCTGAGAGCTTTATTGTTTAACTTGTAAGACTGGTAATAAACATGCAGCAGTCTCAGCTTGGTGTTACAACTTTCTATGGGCCTATCTGCTGTCAAAATAGTATTAAATGTGTGTGTGTTTTACATAGCGTGTTTTATATACAGCTGGTGTTTTTGATTTTCAGATGCACATTATAATACTAATGTCTGCAATGGGACTCTTAAGGCCAGCCAGGAACAGCCTTGTTTTAATTTGCTGGCAGAAGAATGGGGCTGGAAGAGGGTCTATCTGATTAATAGTTTAACAAGATTAAATACTGTCACCTCTGGCAGTCAGTGAGTGCGAGGTGGAAATGGGCCTAAGAGAGGGGGTCTGAGTGTTTACTTTTATGCTTTGTTGGGCAGGAGAGTGGAGAGGAGGAGGAGGAGGAGGAGGAGGAGGAGGAAGGAAAGGGGGCTGATGAAGAAGAGGAGAAGCAGAAAGCCCGTCTGGAGAAGAAGCGGCGACTGAAGGAGCGGTTCAACTCGGAGTATGATGAGGGAGACGCCACCTACTTTGATGACCTCAAGGAAGAGATGCAGAGGCAGGCACAGGTCAGAGGTCATGGGGCCGTAATTAGGGGCTATAGGGTCCCGGTGGGGATAGACAGGTTTATGAACCATCTGAATCAGACAAGAAACTCAGGGGCATTTAAAGTCAAACTGGGGTGAACACTTTTTTGTATTTTCTTTTGGGGAATTTTTACCACTTTTCTCCTATATATAGAAAGATGCCAAAAATATTGAGAACTTATAAGTAGTAGAAACCTGGAAAACTTGATTTTGTTAATTGGTGATTGGCTGTAATAGAATCTTCTCTATTAATGTGTGATAAGCAATACAGAATACATTACTAATGGTTTGCAATTCTTCTGCAGCTGAACCGGGCTGAGTTTGAGGACTTGGACGATGAGTTGAGGGTTCAGTACGAGGGTTTCCGGCCTGGGATGTATGTGCGTCTTGAAATCACTGGTCTTCCCTGTGAATTCGTCATGAACTTTGACCCCCACTATCCCGTTATCCTTGGAGGTCTGTGGGCCAGCGAGGGAAATGTAGGCTACCTGCAAGTGAGTGGTACCATGGGAGTTTGTGCACCTCTGAAAATAAGTGGCTTAAACAGTGCCTGAGGATGTCCTTAGATATCTTGCAGTCATCAGTGAACTTGAAGTTCTCACTGTCTCCTAATATTCACTTTTTTACTGTATTTTGAGCAATGGAACTTCCTGTCTGGCTTTGAACTTCATGTCTACTTGCTAGTACCAGTTTTCCAGTGATGTGCTCCAGTGTTTTCAGTAATCCTAGATTTTGAAATATTGAATTTCTGACAGCAAATAGGGAAGAAATGTGCTTTTGCCACTGTAAGCATACTTACTGTTTTATTAGTAGGTAGTCCAAAAGCTCTATGATCACGGGTTCGAGCCTAAGTGATGTCTCTAGTCAACTGTAACCAGGATTTCCCAATGGGCTGAGCTCTCCCCAGCATAGAGTAGAGGCTCTCTTGGCTCTCAGTTGACACAGTGACCCCTGCGGCATCTGGGGGACTTGCAACTTTGGCAAAGCTGAACCTCCAGCACGTGTTGCCTGTGAGGTATTAACAGACGAGTGGCTCAAAGGCAGGCAGTCTGCTAAATCCATGAATGAGGAAATTCAGGCAGAGTGTGAGTGAGGGTGAGTCAAGCTTCAGGGTTCCATATCTTTCATCATGAAGCATGGCTGCTTATGTTTTCCAAGAACAGCTTTATCCTGCATTGCTGTTTTAATAATGAAGGGCAGGAAGTGTGGTGCATGTCTCAGGGCAGTTATCTGGAGTCATACGTTTCTCTTGAACTGCCTTGTTTCCACTCTCTGACGATTCCCCTCTGCAGGATGAGCGCACTGTTTTAAACAGCCCCTGTATTTACACTCTACACCCGTAAACTAGATGTGTCTAGTCTTAAGGTACATGCTGAAAAGGGGTTTCAGAAGTAAAGAGAGCTGGTTGATCTTGAGTTACCCAGACAGTCGCTGTGGTCTTCTAGATGCGTCTGAAGAAGCACCGCTGGTACGATCGCATCCTGAAGACACGGGACCCGCTGATCCTGTCTCTGGGCTGGCGCCGCTTCCAGACCATCCCGCTGTACCACATCGAAGACCACAATGGCCGACACCGCCTGCTCAAGTACACCCCGATGCATATGCACTGCGGAGCCACCATCTGGGGTGAGGACTCGGCGCTTGGGGTCCGTATAGACCCAGTGGCTCTGCTCGAACTGTGCAGCAGTTAAGCTGGCAGTTTTTTAGAATTAATACTGGATTTAGGTCACAGACTTTGTTTGCTGTTATGTTAAGATCAGTACCTGGATTAGAGAGCTCCTAGGAAAAACTAAGATTGCTGCTGGAATAGGTGTGTGGGGCCAGTAGGGAGCACTCACAATGTAGTTTGTGTGGGTCGTAATGCGCCAGTACAGTGATGGGAACACTATAATGTAAAAAAAAAACACTGTCCTTTGAATGAAAGGTAAAACCGAAGTTCTGACACTCTGTGGTCATTAAAAATCCCAGAGCATTTCTTGAAAAGAGTAGGGGTGTAACCGCAGTGTCCTGGCCAGATTTCCCACTGGTCTTTACCAGTCATGGCCTTCTAATAATCCCCATCTAAGAATTGAGTTCATCGCTCTGTTCTCCCCACTGATACCTGATGTGTGGTGAGCGTACTGGTGCACTATGGCTGCTGTTGCATCATCCAGGTGGGGCTGAACACTGGTGATGGTAGAGGAGACACCCATTACCTGTATAGCGCTTTGAGTGGAGTGTCTAGAAAAGTGCTATATAAGTGTAAGGATTTGTTATTATTATGAACTGAGCAACATTATGGAGAGAAGCTGGAAAACAGATCTCTCAGCCATGAAAGAACAAACACCCTCATTCGATAAAGGGCTGTGTGTGGAAAACTCTCAGATGTGATCAGGTAATGACAGGTTTGAACCCTGTTGCCCAGCTGTACTGTTACTAATAAAAATATATTCTGTATTTTCTGTCTCATTGTGAAGTGCCTGGTGATGGCTATTAGTAAATAACCAAATGATTGACGTGACCCTCTCATCTCACATGGAATTCAAGCCTTTGCAGGAATGGAAATTGCACTTCCACTGCATAGCATCTTGGCCATTTCAGCTGTCATGAGCAGCACACTGGTGTATGTAAATCATCTCTAGGTGCTAGATATTTTCCTTCTTGGTTGTGAGTAATTTATTTAGACTTGTGAAATAGAAATAGAAAATATATAAATTAGAAATGGTAAAATAGAAAACTAAAAATATATATTTTATTTTTTATTGGGCTACAAACCTGAAATGAATCAAAGTGCTTTGCAATAATAGATTTATTGGTGCCCCACCTCCCAGAGGGGGTTAAAGAGTGTTGCCTGAGTTAAAAGTCTGAAATGGAGAGCTGTTTATTTTTTTCAGACTTTGAACATCTATACCTAGGTGCTTTGACTTGGCTCTACTCTATTTGTACATTATAATGAAGTGCAAAGTTCACAAAGTATGAAGTTCTCTACAGCTCTGTGATGTACAAGATGCTTAGCACTAACAGGAAACTAGATTACTAAGAACAGGGTGGTCACTGTGAGCTGTCCTAGGTGTGTACCTTGATCGGGAAGAAGTTGTCGATTGCACTGCATATTTAATGCAGCCTCGCTTTAGTACTGAAATCATTGACCCTAAGGAACCTGATTAATAACAGAGAGAGTAAAATAATGCTTGTTATAATTTATAAGGCCTAACTGTAAAACAAATCATTCCACATTTGTCTGAAACCAGAATCCAAGAAAATCAACAAAACATTTGTTAAAAGATGCAACTGTATGAATTTTACTGTTAACTTCAGAAATCCTGGACCAAATTGCTGGGGTCTCTGTCCCCCCCTGCATTCAGGAAGCTGATGTCTGTTTTTCCTTCTTAGGGCCCATCACCCCACAGGGAACTGGCTTCCTGGCAGTCCAGTCTGTAGCAGGCACTCAGGTAGGAGTCTGACTCTACCTTGTTTGTGTTGCACCATGCATTTGAAAGTACTAGCTCGATTTAGGTTTAAACCTAAGAAATGTTGTTTAGGTTAGATGTGTCATTGACTATATAGTGTTGGATTTTAACAAGACATGGTGTGAGAAATGTTAATGCATACATGTTTGCCACATTCGTGGTTTTCCTTCTTACGTGGCTTTAATGCTGAAAGGTGCAGACCTTCATCTTTAATTCTGAATTTGCCCGTGACACCCTACAAAACATTTTGGGGGGCAGATGGACTTCCTGTGATTCTCTGTTTAGTCTAGTAATCACATGCACAGAAATAAGACTGTTAGTATGGCTCTTTAAGTCTTTTCAGGTGCTAAAAGCTCCAAGGCCCATGTAATAAACTACTGTCGGGTGCTCAGAATTCCCAGCTTGAGACCTTATTTTGAATATATTTGCATAGTTCAAATTGTATAGGAGGCTTCTGCTAGTAATGTACTTGGAACAGATCACTGTAATAATGACAGTACTGTTGCCATCTCTGGGCTGCGCGTGTGGTATTGTGTGTCATTGTCTGAGGTGCAGTTCAGCAGTAATAACAGTCTGCTCATTGTCACCATCTGTCGGGGTTTTGATCTCTCAGGCCAGCTTCCGCATCGCTGCCACAGGGGTAGTGCTGGACCTGGATAAATCAGTGACCATTGTCAAGAAGCTCAAGCTCATTGGCTACCCATACAAGATCTTCAAGAACACAGCTTTCATCAAGGTAAGCTGTTGAAAGACAAGAAGTGCGACTCCTTCAATAAATTGGGTCACTTCATCATCAAATGAGAGATTTGTATCATCTTGCTAAGACAATTGTCAAAGCATCCTTTTAGTCCTCTCTACGATTTTGCAATTTCGTGATTATTCACAAGTTGAAAAAGTGTACAAAACAAAATAAAACATCAAAGCAATTCTTGCTAGCTAGTCTTGTCATTTCCGTCAGGTAAATATTTGTAAGAGAGCAGTGATGTCTGCTGTAAAAACAAATGAGGAAGATGCTATCTGTTTGGAAAGTTATGGCTGTTAGTAAATAACTTGGTCTTGATGATCAGCCACTGGGTTCACTGTGTTACCTTTCTTTTGTCTTTTGTGTTGCCTTTTGTATTTCTTTGTGCAACCAGTGCTCTTTGGGGTAAATCACAATGCAGCACCAGTAAAGAAACTGGCTTATTCTGACCATCTGGGTGCTGTTTTTATGCACTTCCTAAAATAACTTCACAGGAAACTGAATTGTGAGGATGAAGTCTGAGGTTTTGTGGCACCGACTGGATAATCAAGAATGTGCTGCAGACAGTCTCTTGCATAGTTTTCCAGCATGTGGGAGTTCATAACTTCAAACACTGATCACAACTGTTGAGAGAAATGTGACTTTGTAACAGAAGATAATTAAAACAATTTTTTTTCAGGTATCTTCAGGTTCAGGTTTTTTTCCACAGAAGTTGCTGAAGGTGTAACCATTGGTTACTAGGGGAGTTTCAGTGCTAAAGATAGCCAAAAGCTTAACATAGCACTTGAGTCTTTTTTATCATTATTTCATTAAGAACAGAAAGCAAAAGAGGTAGTTCTCGATTCATTTCTCTCATGGCTCTGTTCTGTGCTTAATTCTGCTGTATATTCAGCGTAGAGCTTCGTTGTTTGTAATTTCCATTTTTGGAAAAAAAAACTCAGCTTTGGACTGAGTAATTCCACTCAATGCAGGCAGGCTTATTAGGTGTAATTGTTTTTATCTTGGGGAAAGAATTTTCACGAATTGATTTCTCTGTCCCTTACTGTATTTTAAATATCCCCCCACTGTTTCATGTTTATAGTTTTGTATTTGATGTTTTAAATTAGGTTAATTAGAGTGTATTCAAACAAGCCATTCCTAAAAAGCTGGAAGTCATAGGCCAGGCTATTTCTATGCGTCCATTGAGACTGAAGAGACTGCAGTTAGCAAGATATCTGAGCCTGTTTCCTTGATGACTGTGCTAACAGTTAACAGTACCATTCGATAAACTTGAAATGCCTTAAAGACCAGTAGGTTGCTCAAAGGAGAAAGCACGCAGGCAGGTTTTGTTAGTGGTGTTACATGTGTGAAATTTTTTTATATTTATTTTATTTATTTCAATAATTTATTTCATTTATTTTTCAAATACCTTCGTTTTCCACTTACAGTCTGGGTGCATGTGTCAAGAGCACAGACACGCTGCTAGTTGCAGTCTCACCTAAATTATATTTGTTAAAACAGAGTGTTTCTTTAATGGTGGAACCCGCAGGTTTTTTGCCCAATGCAGATGAGCTCATCATCGTCCATCAAATTAAGGGCCAAGGTGTCTATAATTAATAACCAAGATGTATTATTTTCTGTAATTTTTATTCAACCAGATAAGCCAATTGAGAAGAAATTGTCATTTACAACACTGACTGCATGAACCCATTTATATGGGAAAGCATTTACTGTAGTATATTAATCAAGGGTACAACACCAGCCTCCTACTCAGGGTTAGGATCCCACCCTTTGGTTTGGTGTCCTGCTCCACTGACTACTTCTCCACACTACTGCCCTATTAATGCCAATGCCTATAACCCTGAGCTCTCTCTTGATTTTCTCCATTAGGGGATGTTCAACACTGTGCTGGAGGTGGCAAAGTTTGAGGGGGCGTCTCTGCGGACGGTCAGTGGGGTGCGTGGACAGATCAAGAAGGCCTTAAGGACGCCGCTTGGAGCCTTCAGGGCCACCTTTGAGGACAGGCTGCTGATGAGTGGTGAGGAAGAGAGCGGGTGTATGATATGCTTGCAAATAACCACTTGGCTGTACCATGCGTTCTGCTGAATACAGCTCCAGTTCCCCCAGCACTTACAGCATCCTAGCATGTTGAAAGGAGCATCATGCCAGTGATGGAGTTTCACAAAGTACCTCTGCTCCTTTGATAAAAACAAATCTGCTTTCGTTGTGCCCGTCTGCTTCAGGACCTGCATAACGCATTGGACCAAGCCACCTTTTGCAGGTGTGGTGATTTGTACCCCATTTTGTGGTTGGTGTTTGTATGAATTAAATAGCTGCCGTGTAACTGTGTGTGTGTACTGTACTGGCTCAGCTTTCAGTTTGCCTGCTCAGCTGCAGTGGTGCTCTGCAGACATTTTACACACTTGAGGTTTGAACAGCTGCAAGTTCTTATATGAGCCAACACTAGGTGCTGGATGAGTTTGGCTTTATCCAAAGCAGGAAACAGTCCCAATTTACACAGGGAAGTATCGCAGTTTTATAGGTAACTGTAACTACAGTACTGAGCAACGGATTGTAAACACCCTAGGTTTGTCCATATTCTTGTATACATTAGACTTAAAACAAAATTAATGAAACGTAATAAAAGGTAACTTGATTAAATGTAAAGAGGGCATTGCCAACAGTTACTTTAAGGGTTTACATATTTATTTACACGTATGTATTTACTGTTATATTTAATCAAATTAATCATTGTGCTAATATCATATACAATTGTTTTGTACCTTTATGTACATTTGATTTGTGAATAAACATATATCTTCCATTTTTTTATTAAGGCTTTCATGAAGGCGGTATAAAATAGGTGTAGAATAAACAAGACTACAGATGAACTGAGGGGGTCAGATTTTTTTCTGAGCACTGTACGCTGTGCAGAGCTGTAAACAGAGCGATGGGCTCAGGGTGGTTGCTGTTCTAAGAGAATCTGCCTCGTCTCTCTGCTGGCAGACATTGTGTTCCTGCGATCGTGGTTCCCTGTGTCCGTCCCTCAGCTCTACAACCCCGTGACCTCCCTGCTGTGCCCCGTGGGACAGAAGGACACCTGGAGTGGGATGAAAACTGTGGGCCAGCTGAGGCACGAGCTGGGCCTTCGCCGCAAGCCTGATAAGGACTCCCTGTACAAGGTAGGGTTTGAACCCAAGGCCAGAGTCACTGTGACTCTGCAGAGCGGGTGGCGTCGGTGCGCCAAGCGATACACTAGGTCATGATTTTAATAACTGTACATGAATGTAAAAACCAAAACAACTTGACACAATCTGCAAAGGTTTCATGTTGCTTTAGTGATTCTACCATAACTGATCACAAAATATCCATGCTCCCTTACACATCTCTTAGACTTTGTTTTTGTGTGTTACTGTCCCAGTTCATGTTCTTGTTGTTAGTGGTGAGCTAAAATGTTGACTATCACCCCTGTACCAGTATAGGAGAGATGCAGACTATAGACACATCCGCTGGGCAGAGAGCCTGGAGGAGAAACTCACAGTGATGGGATTGCAGGCGCATGGTTTCCGCAGACTGCCATACCTTTTCTGTGTGACAGCAAGCCTAGGAAACAGCCCAGTATAGGATCTCACCTGGCCTGGCCCATGAGGCACATTTAGCTGATTATATGGTCACAGATTGAGCCCTCTTTCGATCACCATTCATTATGTGTTCAAAGTTAACAGAGGCCTTTCATGTTAAAGGTATGTTCTTCTTTTCCTATATTTGGTATTGCATTTCATGCCATCAAAAAATGAAATATTATTGTTGCATTTCTTTTAGTGCGTTATGCACAAAAACAACAACAACAAGGGGAATTATAGGGCCCTTTGGATCAGTGGTTCCCAGTCTGTCTCGAATGGTTTTCATTCCAAATGGGCCGTTAATCACTGATGCCAATTCATGCAATTGATCTGCTTGTTTATTTAGACTTTTTTCTGTGCTTAGTCCTTAGGTTCGGAAATACCCTAGAGTATATTGTTTCCAACAACTTCAGCAAACACAACTTTTTGAAGTCTCTTTTCAACCTTCTAATAAGAATTTGCTCCCTTTTCTGCCTATAACATTAATACATGAAATACTCCCACAATATGTGTTTGTTCCTCTGCTTCTCAAATTGGCTATATTTCAGCTGACACACATTAATGAGGGCAGTTTTGAAAATCGGGGAATATCAATTAGAAGCTCCACACATTTTTAATAATTAAAAGACAAAAATGAAAAAAAAAAAACTAAAATTGATTGAGTTCCTGTAGGAAATGCCAGAAGGCACAACAATATCCCAATACCAGGGCTGAGAGCTACAGCCGTAGCTGCACTATTAGGTGTATGAAGTGAACCATGTGTTTGAGAAGGTTCTTATAAAGTCAGATTACTTTTAGAACCATAAAGAGTAAGTTGGCCTCAGTAAGTGAGTCACTCAGAAAAATAAAGGACATCATGCCATCTTCTATCCAGAACTGCTTGACCATCTACAGATTTGTTTTTTAAATAGTGACATATTTATTAGTGTCTTAAAAAATCTAGACTGCCTCCAACAAAGATGTTCCATCTACCAGGCAGTGTGCAATGTTACTGTACTGTGTTGGGGAATTGCGGATGGAGGTTGGACAGGTTCAGGGTTTATACTCCTCTGTATGTTCTAATGTTCTATAATTCTGCATCTCTGAAAGTTAGGAGAACTTAATCTTTATGATCTTGAACAGAGCAAACTGTGAGTTTTCTCAGAGAAATGTGATAATGGTAACCAAAATGATTCCATTCAGCTCTGTAATAAATCAAACATCTAGAGGCACAAGTGGAAGTTAAAGAGGAGATTCATTTAAGCCTGAAATGTAGGGTAGATTCCTTTCTACAAAGGGTAGCTGGTGTCTGGAACATTATCCATGTTGTAGAAGCCGGTTTTCTTGGAATTTTCCGGATGGAGCTGTAGGAGAGTTCAGATCTGACCACACAAGCAAAAATGCCTCTTGTCTGTCACTTTTCTTGGGCTCTTGTGCTGTGTACCCCCCGCTGTGCGCTTTGTGTGCATGTCAGTTGCTGTTCCTGTGGCTGAGAATGACACTGTTCTCTTTTCCTGGCAGCCGGTGGTGAGAATGAAGAGACACTTCAACCCCCTGCACATCCCCAAACAACTGCAGAAGGCGCTACCCTTCAAGAGCAAGCCCAAACAGTTCCAGCATAAGGGCAAGGTTCCTCGGGACCTCCAGAGGCCAGCTGTCATTAAGGAGCCCCACGAAAGGAAGGTGAGAGAGACCCCCCCCCCTTCTCTTCTTCTGTTGACAAAAATTACACACCACTGGTCATACCATGTGCAACCAGTCACATCTTTTTTTTTAACTTTTCATATATCCTCTTCAAACAGGCTTGGTACTTTTCAACATTTAATACTTTTTTTGCATGCAGAATAATATACCAAAGTTCTTAAGTCAACAATCTATTGTTTCAACTGAGTTTGAGGCCTGCTGATTTCTTTTTCTGACTAAAGAGGGTGGGGCTTCTCCATTAATTTGCCCTTTATTGCTGCTCTATGTGCGAATTACAATCGATTTCAAACTGATCCGCTTAATTTAGTCACATTGGGCCTTTGAACCTGCTGTTGGAGGGGAGGGACTGGGAAAGGTAGTTATTATACTCTAAAATTCTTAGAAATATTTATTTTGCCAGGCTTATTGCATCACAGCCTTGTCTTTAATATTTTTTATAAAACTAATGTCATAAATACTGAATGTTCAGGTTTTTAAAGTATTTAAACAGTTAAAAAATTTGACAATATCCACCTTCTTTAATTAAAGAGTCCAGTGTTATATGTTATAATTTGCAGATTAAATATGGAAGAATGAAAGTACAAAGCCAACTCCGAGATACGGCATTTAGTGATGTAGTAACCGTTCTGCTGCAATGCCTTCCGAGAAGCTTTGCCACAGTCACTGTGACATCACACGGAAAGAGTGTTGCAATTGGGATGCAGTGTTTTACCCTGTTTCCTCTGACTGTGGGTGAACTGAGGTGAGGTGGCATTCCGTCACCATGGTTTCCATTGTCAAGTCAGAGTGTATGTGGTGAGAGCTGTGAGCTGGGTCACCCTGAAGCTAGAGCGTTGGAGTACATTTTATAAAACTGGTATTAGATGTCACAGAAGTTCGTTAAAGTTTTTTTTTTCTCCAGACTGGAGAAGGGGAAGGTCAGCAAATCCCAATGTGTAGATGACGCTTTGTTGTCCTGGAGTAATAGAGGAAGCAGAGACCAGTCCTAAAAAAAATAATTCCTTAGCACTTCACACGTAGGAGGGGGCCCACTTCATTTGCCACTGAAGGGCAGTATCCACCTGGATGGCAGCCATTCTGCAGCAGCAGACCCACTACATAGCAGATCAGGGGGAAAAGTGAGAAATTACTTCACCAATGATCAATTTTCCTGGTTTACCTAGTGGCTCATCCCAGTACGGACCTGGTCCAGCTATGCTTAGCTTCTTAGATCTGATGGGATCAAACTGCTAGGTGGACGTACTGCCGTCAAAACCCTGAAAAAAACCCCATAATGAATGTTACATGTATTTTATACTGTAAATATTTTTGCCTAAGACTGTAAATATATGCCCCATTTTTGTAATTGGAGAATGTAGCCTTTATAGAGGTTCTACCAGCTCTGATAGTGCAGATGACAGTTAGGAATCAGAGAAACAAAGTATTTTTTTAGCTTGGCTCATTTACCCAGTTCCTGCACAGTGTGGTCTGTAGTGGTTTGGCTTTGTTTTTATAGAAAACAGTTTCAAACCCTCTCAATGTTGATACACTGGCAGTTAGTTCAATTCAAATACTAGGTAAATGTAAACTGAATACATCGTTTTAAGGGATTTTTGCAATAATGTAGTATAAATATTCTGCACCAAAAAATGGAGGTTAAATGTTACTCTGGTAGCTATTATTGTTTTTATAATTTTTTACACAAAATGTGATTTTAAACAATTACAGAACCAGTGTTGCCTTTCTTCGGCTTGGTTAAGCTGTACTACAGTTGAGCCTCCCAGGAATACTGGGTGTTTAACTTTTGTTTAGGGGCGCTCTTTCTTAAAAAAAGGTGTTGTGCAACTTGCTCCATACCATCTCAGATGATGGGATTTTTGAGGTTAGATAATTAATAATAATAAACTTTATTTTATATGGCGCCTTTAAAGGTGGCTTCTCAAAGAGCTTTACAGGATGACAATAACAATAAATAAGAAGACTACAACAATAAATAAGATTTCACAAGATAGGACACAATTACAATTACAACAATACAACAATAACAATAGAGGAGACCGTGGAAGATGGTTTTAAGAAGAGCAGAGGGGTGAAGAATGGAACCAGTTAAGTAAAGGCTTTTCTGAAGAAGAAGGTTTTGAGTCTGGATTTGAAGGAGTTCAGAGAAGGTGACTCTCTGATATCCTTGGGCAAAGAGTTCCAGAGCTTGGGGGCATAGCAGGAGTTGCCCATACAATGTAGATGGGCAGAATTTGAAGAGCGGAGGTTGCGAGGTGGGGAGTAGGGCGATAAAAGTTCAGACGGGTATTGAGGTGCCAAGCCATGTAAAGCCTTATAGGTGAGCATGAGGATTTTAAAGTCTACGCGGAATTTGACTGGAAGCCAGTGCAAGGACTCCAGGATAGGAGTAATGTGAACACTTGCACTAGACCTGGTCAGGATTCTGGCTGCTGAATTTTGGACATACTGCAGTTTGTTCAGAGTAGATTTAGATACCCCAGCAAGTAGAGCATTACAGTAGTCAATTCGAGAGAATACAAATATGTTGATCAGCTTTTCAGCCACAGTTAGTGAGCCATAGGGCGTAGTCTTGCGATATTTCTAAGGTGAAAAAAAGATGTTTTGAAGTATGCTGTAAATGTGGGTTGAATGTTAAGACAGAATCGAATATAACCCCAAGGTTTTTCAATCTGCAAAAGATGCAAAAGAAATAGAGATGTCAATGAGAGCCCAATCTTTCCAGTCAGGAGACTCTGTAACTAATTCTTTGACATACCAAGGTCTCCTTGTGGTATGTCCTTTGCTCTCATTTGCTCTGTCTCTACTCTTTTTTACTTTCACAATAAGCTCTCTGGAAATGTCAAAATCACCCTTCACATTAAGAAGAAAGGTCGAGGCCACTTGAACAAGCAAGTCACCCACATCTCTAGATTTGGGTGCGTCATACTTCTAAACAGTGCAGTTTCATCCTTGCTGCCTGCCTCTGAGCTCTATGAATTATTGTTGTTTTCAAAGGTTTTTGTAACAAGCCTGAGTGCAGCATTTTCCTTGGCTCTTTGCCAGTCTTAACCAATTTCCACTTATTTTAAAGCGAGCAATAAACAACATGTAGGCTGGAAGCATAGAGACTACCTTTGCATGAGAAAGTTTGACCCTCCCGTAAGTGATATATTATGTTGGCATCCTTGTGAGCCTCCCTTAAGAAGCATTTGTGCTCTTTCAGCCTGTCAAATACCACATTTTGGAGGGGTTATTCTCGTTTCAGAAAGTCTGTTAAGCTTGAACAAAACATCTTTGTGGATAAGAAGGTTGCGGTAGGCAGAGTAGTGTGTTTTTGTACGCGCCTTGATCATTGAGATCATTTGATATCGCCTAATAGTGTTTCACTAACGAGTTTGAGAAGTTTTTTTCCTGTTCTTTGCAGGAGGCGGGGTTATATGGTATCAAAATATTAACTGGGGGCCCGGTAATCAGACCTTCAGATTGGTTAGAAGTGAGAGGTGATCTCTGGATCATGTTGAAACAGGTCAACTCTGCTAGGGATAGCTCTGGCCAGGACTCTCCAATGAAACAGAAGCCTCTGCAAGTTCACATGCACATTATTAAGGACACACCACGACTCTAATCAGTGCCATAACTCCCTTGTAGTTCACTCCTGAGTTTGCTGCACGTCAAAGGTTGCCAGACCATAAAGTCACTATTGGCGATTCCTAACTGAAGAGGCATTTTAGAATTGGACATTCCAAATTTATTGAAAAATGACTTAATTGCTAATGTTTTCATCTTTGAAGTTTGTAAACCGAATCATTTATTGGATAAATATGGATAAATATGTATATGTATGACATGTATCTATGCATCTTCACTGATTTTGGTTTTAACTGTCCAGACATTTTTTTTCAGCTTCAGTCCATGGCTTATCCTGGTTATGCTCAACTCATATGCTGTAAATTTAAGCACTCATTCCAACAACTCAGGAGCAATACTGAATGAAGGTCCTTTGGGATCATAGAAGTGAATGACTTGCAAATGTTGTCCCCACCCCACACCCATATTTGAACAGATTCCATTGAATGTAACGCTTTTCCATCCAGTGTACTGATAAACCACAGAATATTTTGCCATTGTTTTGCTACAGTTTACCAACACATTGAACATTAAGATGATGTTCCCAATGTGAAGTCAAATGCAGTGTTGATTTTCTTGTAGGCTGAGTTTCTAATGAACTGGTTTCTGTCCTGTTGCTTCCAGGTGGCCGCCCTGCTCAATGCTCTGAGCACTGTCCATGGCTACAAGCAGAAGAGGGCTCGCTCCAAGCAGCACCAGAAGCACAAGGAGTTCCTGAAGCAGAAGGAGCAGGAGGAAGTGGACAAGCTGAAGAGGCAGAAGGAGGCACACAAGAAGATGTACCGCACAATGGGCCAGAAGGAGAAAAAGCAGCAGAAATCGAGCCTGAGGGGGGCGGCTAAGGATGATTGAACCAGAGAGGGAGGTGGCTCTCCTTAAAGGGCTGGTGGATGCCACAGCCTAGAGCTCACACCCCAGCCCTGCAAACCCGCTCTCTCTTCACCTGTAACTGTACGGTGGCACAGCACTCCCACTCAAACAGAAAGAGGATATTTCCTGCCCCTGGGAGCGCTGGCCTTTTGGGAATATGTACCATGTTTACTTTGCAGGAAGTTTTATTTATTATAACCTCCTAGCAGGGATTCTGTCTTAAATCTGCTCTCTGTTTTTTAAAGGGAATACATAGCTGTTCCTGGGGACTTTGGAGTCTGTGATCTAAAAACAATAAAGAGCACAGTTCCCAAGATACTGTATGGTTTATAAGATACATAGGATTTAAAAGAACATTTTCTGCTGCCCTGTATGATTTTGACAGTAAGTCTGTGTGATGTGTGACAGTATCAACTCCATGATGGAAAAAATGCAGACAACAATTCTGGACTTCATTGTGAAATGCAATCAATAATTACCTCTAATGAAGCTCACAGGGAATGTCAGTTATCAATTGCAATGCAAAGAGGGTTGTCTCTTGCTTTGTGTAATAAATGGTGTTTTCTTTTTCATCTTGGGATAATGCTCTTGTGTTTCATCAAAGTTTTTTTTTTCTGGGCTGTTGCAATGAAGTTGAGAAACTCGGTAACAGCTGGCAGTAAAGAGAACATTACACAGTGCTCTGTGTTACATTTCATAATCTTGATTCTCAATATCTCAGTTTCTGTTTAAAGAGGTAGCACTGTTTCGTTAGTTTACCATTGTGGCCAGTGCAGAGGAGAAAGGGAACCCTGCATTAGTTGGACCATGGGTAAAAAAAGAAATGAGGGTGGATTGTCGTGATGAATAATGGGCAACATGCATGGGACCAAGAAGGCATTCAGGGGATTGGCAGACTCTAGTTCAATCAAATAAAGAGCATGCCTGTTCCAACATGTACAGCAGTCTAGGAATATCCTATTTAACCATGCCATGCATGAATTCAGGAACAGTGATTTTTGGACACAGCGGTATGTTTCGTTGTATGTTTATGTGTACAGAATGCCTATAAACTTAGATGACCTTGACTAGCCTTATTCAACCAATTGCATTGAGAAAACCATCTTATGATGCATATCTGTTGAGTAGATGTTTGACCATCAGGAACAAGAACGATAACACCAGAGGGTGCTATATTGTCGCAGTGTGGCTACCATTTACATCAATGATCGTTTGGGTGCATCTTTTGGTCGACAGTGTTGAATGGCGTTCTGTGGATCATACTGCTCTTGTCCATATGGGCAAATATCTATATTACTCACCAATGATGTTACTTTTTGATAGTTTTTGTAATGGAGTTATTTGGATAGACCAGCTATTTATATTGCATTCTTATATGATGTAATCCTTCAAGAAACATAAATGTATAAAGTAACATCTAATTCTGACATAACTCAAGGCAAGTATGTATTAATGTGCTGAATGTAAAACACAAAAAGTTGCTAGATAAAATTGTCATCAGAAATGTAACTTTAAGATAATTTCATTCGTTTTGCTGGTTCGTTCCTATATGAGGTAACTGTTGATGAAAGATTTAAGGCTGAAAATTGAAGACTGTGTCAGTATTTGAGGGATAACAGTTTTGATTAGTTTTGGGCCTATTTTTGAGTGGAATTTGAATATCAGACATGGTATTTTAATATGGTCTCGCAAAAGCTCAGCACCATATGTTGTATAATGAGTTTTATTTTATGCCAGATGTGTTCTCGTTCAATATCGTATTCATACCCATGGGGAAATGGAACACAGTTTTCAAATCCATGCAAAGCCAAAGCAATTTAGATTTTTTTTTTTAAATATGGGATTATAATGACATTTGGAACTGAAATGGTAAAATACATTTAGCAATGCCTAATGACGCTTTGGCTGTGTAGCATCTGTCTTCATTAGTGTTCGTGTTGAGAAGGTAATTAACTTAAAATTATTACTAACAGTTCTACATTCTTGTGTACTCTTTCACATTCTGAAGCTCAATTTTGGATGGATATGTAAATAAATGTCTAATCTGGGCAGTGTATCGCACTTTGAAGCACTTTCCACGTCATACAGCTGGCCTCTGTTCATTAGCTATGAGAATAAAAAGTTGTTGCTTGTCAATACAAAACCCCACGTGTTAGCAAACAGGGATGTGTGCAGGTTTTTATTCCAAATCTGTTAATGACCATTATTGGCTTAATAGCACTTTTTCCCAGCTCTTCTGGTACTGCTGCTTTGAAGAGACCAGACAATATTTGCAGACACTAGCCCTCAAGGACTGCAATTGCCTGTCCCTGTTGCAGAAAGATCTTGGATTAATAGTTTCTGTTTTTGATATGTTATATGTGGCAGTGTTTCTGTGCCATGTCTGTGTAGCTGTAATTTTCACAGCATCATTGCTAAAATGCAGTGAAAGCAAGTTTTGCTTCGATCAGACACATGTGCATATTTGTGATTCTCAAAGGCTGAACTTTAGTATGGGAGGAAGAAAACATTCTAAAAGATTAGAATCAACATAGAAATAGAGACTGGGGACAATATTGGTGGTCCTTCTTGGATCCCTGAATTTATTGATATCGTTTTTTGTTGCCATCGAGGACATTCTCTCATTAAGGCAATGGCAGACAAAGCTGTCCGTGTTTATCTAGGAAAATTAAAAACTAGGAAAGCGAGATGTCATGTCTTGGGAATTAAGAGTACATATTTGAACTGTTTCTGATGTTGAGGAAAAGGCTGAACTTCAGAAATATGAATAATTAAAATAATAAAGTAACTGTCTTCAGAAAATCCAACATATTTAATGTGTTGTACCTGAAGTTGATCAATCAGGTGCCACATACTGTCCCCATTTCTATAGCTTTCCTGGTAAAATGAGGAAGTAGCGAGTTCCATATCAATGTCAGTAATATTTTATAAAGGAAGAGCCAGGTATCATACCTTCAGATATCCAAAGATTGCTGTAAATCTGGGGATTTCAAGGAAAGAGAATGCATAGTTCCCCTGTCTTTGCTTATGGTGGTATGGTGAATTCGAATTCCAGTTTACTCCAGTGTTATTTCTTGCTGGAATTTATATTCTTGGAATGAGTAGCAGGGTGTACATTGTTAAGAGTGATTGATAAAATTAAGGATGTCCTGTTATTCATAAACAAAAGCAGATACAATTTTTGTTTGTCTTTACAGCTTTTCTGAACAAGTGAGAAGGGCTTGGTTATGGGTGTAAACCTGTTTTAAAAACTGTATTTTTATTGCTGCACACCACTGCTTAAACAAACATCTGGTGTTGTCTTTTCCGTATGGAAAAAATGACTCCTTCCGCAACTGCCCTCTGTGGTCAACTTGCCTGTGAGAATAAAAAGAAAGTAGTTCTTGACAATACATGGAAGTTTAGAGTAAGACCAAGATTCCACCATTTTGTAGGAGCTCAGTGAAACTCTGTGACTCCTCTGTTTTTACATAAGTGAGAAGTACTCAACGAATCGAATGGTTAGTTGATCCACTAAAGGAAACGTGGTCTTAAAGTTTTAAAATCTGTAACGTAATTACTTTGGCAGAAGGGTGTTAAAGCACTAAAGGAAAAATAATACTACACAGAAAAAAAAATACATTTAGTGCCTGCTTCCCTACAGGAGCAAATATCCCTCTACCCCTTTTTCCTTTTTGAAAGTGTGCTCATGGGGTCTCTTCCAAGGCATGCAGTCAAAATCCTCTGGCTGTAGTCTTCTCCTACTCATGTGATCCGAACCTGCAAAAGAAAACTTGGCAGCAGTGCATTACTATATTAGATATATACATATAAGTGACATACGCTGCTCAAAAAAGGTTTGGAAGACATTGAAGACTAATTGGGAAATAGACAAATATAGCTAAATGCATAAGAACCTATCACTGAATAAAAAAGAAACAATCTTAAGGTTAATACGGTAATAAGGTAAAGAATTGCAAAAAAATATAAAGAAAAGGAAGAATGGGGTAGCAAAATCTATAACTAAATTATTGATTTTAAAGGAAAGTTCCTGCAAAGTGTCCACCTCGAGAGGGAAAAGCACCTAAACTTTTCTTTCACACAATGTATATTATAGTTTTTACATCTGATTAATACAATTTGATTAGACAGTATAATAAAATAATTCTACAAAACATACACAGAAACAACAGCGGTCGTTTTAGATTAATACAGAATACAGAAGCAAAAGACTGGTCTTTTTCATGTGGTTTTAAAAGTGCTTACCGACGGTGAGCCCTAGAACGTGTTGTGTTTTTGTACTCATTGGTGCGGCTCTTACAACTGGGACACCATCAGGTGTTGTGGTTACTTTCAGGACCCCATATCAAGAAGGGCTAGTTCTTCCAACACTTAAAAGTTGTTCTCTACAGGCAAAGTACTGCACTTTGTCCATCGCATTTTTAAAGTTAAGCGAGTTGCCACATTTCAACGCACGTTAAAGCCAATACACACAATCTCATCACACACTGTGATAAGCAGTGCAAGAGAAACTTTGCAGGATGCTTTTTTCCAAATCAAATTTTGAATCTACTCCGTTTTATTCTAAATTTTTAATTGTTATGATATAGTTGGTATTTCTAGTTTTTCTTTTTCACCCTAAAATAGAACGAACGAAAGAGGACCGGAGGGCCGAGTTAAAGTCTTTTTGGTAACAATACTGTACTCATTAACTCAACAGCGCGGCGAGGAAACAGGGCGTGTTTTGCAAAGGAAGCGTGTCCGATGCGATTGCCAGAAAACTTTCACAACTCCGTCCTGCCGAAAGGAAGAAAGGATAACAACGCGGTGAGTTTATTAAGGCATTATAAAAGTAAACCACTTTCAACCTTGCTGTTGTCGTTTCTAAAACTATACGGGATACAGTGAAGGGAAAAGAAAAACAAAAATCGTTTCTATTTGACTCATCTAGGATTAAACCTCGATTCTGAACGTCTAGACTCTAAAACGGGTTCTTCTTAAAATGTGTTGTACGACCAGATATTTACCCTTGCATTATTTAAAATGTCTTTTATATTAAGTAAAAATTGTGTGTCACGTAGTTCCGCGAAAATCTCTCGGTGTGCTTTAAAACTTCAGTTTCGTTTATACTCTGGTTTTCAGAAAAAAAAAGGCGGCCGGATTATCGTAAAAGTAAGATAAACGTAAAGACTAAAATGCAATGGTAGCTGCTGATTTATATTTACATTTTGTTAATAAGTAACGAAAGTGTTTTCCGTCCTTTTGTGCCCATTGTGTGGTCCCCAGTTTTGGTCAGTTAAGGGCTGTTTTGAAAGATTTTTTTTGTTTGTGTACACTGGAGAATGAAACAAGCTATTTTAAAGTGTGGTTGTAGAGGTGCGTGAACACTAGCTCATTTAGAATGGCTGAAGTTACCAGAGAAGTAGATTATGTGGCCTGTAGAAGCAACGTTTTCTAAATTGTAATACGTTATGGTGCAGTGAACCGTAGTATATGGTGTTGAACAATAATTTGCAAAGAGCAATACTGCAAGTTACACGACTGAAAACGAGATTCACATTTTAAAGAATTTTCAGCGCCCACAGTGTTTGGACTGGAGTAGTGCTGGAAATAGTATATTTTGTGTTTTCAACTGCGTTTGTTGTTGACTGGTGTGTTTATGCGTGGTCTTTCCTGCAGTTGTGTGTGGACTGCCTGTAGTCTGTCTGGATCAGTGGTATATGTGTGTGTGGCGATTTGCACTTTGCAGTTGTTTGGGAAGTAGTACTTGACAAATGACGAACCATATTTTAATCTATAGCCAAAAAATCAACAGACTTCTTAGTAGGATAATGCTTTATGTTATCAGTAAGTAGGCTATGGCTTTGACTGCAGAGTGACCTGTCTCGATTAATTGTGGCCTGCTGTTCCATTGTGGTATTGACTTGGACATGTTGGGTAATGTACAGTTTTTATCTGAAGCCTGCCTGAGTCTCTTTAACAATTGGCTGAAAGGGTTTAGCCATGGGTATGCCTTTAGTCTGTTGTATCTACTAGCTGTGTAAACAGGGGTATGAGCCTGCACTCTTTCTCCAAAGTTTCCAAAGAGAGTCTGCGCCACTGTGATAAGAACCCAGAGCAGAGTAAGAGAACTGTTATCACCGCTGAGTGCTGTCATGAGTAATATTTAAAACTTTAAACAGAATATAACCCGTGTGTTGACGGGAAATTATTAACGTGCAGTACAGCGTACAGAACCCTTACAGTTTTTGTAATTAAAATTGAGAAATACTTTTCACATGCACACAAGGTCACACTCAGTAGGTCAGGCTGTGTGCCAGGAAAAAAAAAACTTAGCAGCTACTTCTCTTTCAGGTTTCAAAGTGGTGCGTTTCATTTTTTGAAGGCTGTGGTCAAGGCCTGCACATTTTTGGAGCTGTGGGTCAGACTGACATGTTTGGTAGAATGCAGCAGGAAGTGAGATTGCTCTTCAACTTCCCCCTGTGGAAGCTGTCCACATAGCATCATCACCTGGGGTTCCCTAGGGGTTCTCTAGGAGATATGTGTCACGATGCCTTGGAAACCATGAGTTTGCTTTTGGTTCTTAACCCTCTCGTGATAATGGGCACACCTTTTTTGATGGGCAAACCATGCAATTTCTTGTGATGGATGTTCAGCTGTTTTTTTCCTTACTACTGTTTATCTGTCAAGTTAGACTATGGTAGCTTACTCACTGAGGATTCCAGCAGCTCTGGGTGAATTTCAGGATGGGTATAGCACTGTGTAATCGCCTATGATCTTCTGAGCTATAAATCACGCCTTTTCATCACTAATAGTTTGCAGTCCATTGCCAAGGACATGCTTAATTTGCATTAGAGGGTGTGTAATAATGAATCATACCTTTAATAGGAAACATCGGAATTGCCAGAGTCCATGGTGATGTTTGTTTTGTAACTTTAAAACCTCTTTTTTTACTTGTCTGAATAAATCTTGTGAATTTAGAGCATGCAGGTACAAAATATCAGCTGAGCCTTGTAGAATTTGTGCTTTAATATTGTCAAGTGGTTACAATACATAGACCACATAGATAAGCCAGAGTTTATGTCTTGTATTAACTAAGTATACATTAGCACAGGATTAATGGGAATGAAGGTATACAGAGCTTTTGTTGTTGACTGAAGAGGCTTCTGTTACTTTACTGTTGTAAGTAATTATCCAGTACGCTTGATAAATGTCAAATACATTTGTTTATTGTCAGTTTCTACAAGTATTTTGAATTTGTTTTTTATATGTTATGTTGATTACTGGATATTTATGAATTGTAGTTTTTAATGGCTATTTAGCTTTTGTCAATGTGTTTTCTGACATTAACTGCAAATGATGAGAGAATCTAAAATTGAATGCTTCCCTTTTCCCCATAATGTTGCAGGTATATTGTCCTGTTCTCGGGGAATATGGCAGGAAAAATCTTTCTTTTTGAAAAACAAAATATGTATCCTGCGAAGTAAGGAATCTAATTCTAAACTAAATTTGAATAACACACAATGAAAACAAAACAATGTAATGTTTACAAAATTGGTACTTGGGACCATAATTAATAATTGCAATTTCAGTTTTCATTGGTTGTGTAGTGTGATTGTGTTGGAACCAGTCCAGAAGAAAGTGAAACGCTCTCTTTTCACCACTTGTGCAGATATGATTTGTTGATGTGAGCCTTTTTACACTTGGGAACTTCAGTTAGAATGAAAGAGAAGTTTGGTTTAATATGCCTAGAGAGGCAGTTTTCAGACTTTTTCAGCTGAGCCATCCCTTTCAAAACTATGACTGAATATGCACACCGCTGTCACTTTCCTTGTGTATTACAGGTACTGCTGCTACTTCTACCCAGTTCTTAGCTGCCAATGTGATCGGTGGGCCTGCAGTATATATGGTTTGCATAGTCATGTTTAATAGAAGACAGTTTCACCCTTAAATCGCTGTCAGCATCGAGCATTTGGCGATGCTTTGATTTAGCTGCTCCGAGTGCAGAGAAACAAGCCTTAAAAAGGAACGTTGTGACGAAAAGCGTAATGCCCCCAACACTCGTGTTCTTGCATCACTTGTGCTCAGAAATCCATGAGTGGCTTCCACTTGAACTGTAACTGCAGTCCCCCATCAGCCATCAGCTCCAGCAAGTTTCTTTTGTTGGTGAAATGACAGCTTTGGAATGGAGGGTGTAACTTCAAATGAGGTTTTGTATCCAGATTCAAGACGTGTCCATTGTAGAAAAGTATTTTCGCAGCTGGTGACTGAGGTGGTCAAAGATTTTGCAGTTATCATGCCTTCACATGCTTATTTAGGGGCATATTGTTTGTTGCAGTCAAATGGTGTCAGCGTTGGAAAGCAATGAAGGGAATTTTGTTAGGACACAGCTAGCCCAGAATTTCAGTTTTTGATCATTGCTTCGACTTTGTCGAGTGTGTTGAGCACTGCGACGGTGACACCCCGGAGACTTAAATTCCATTCGTTCAAGCAGAAAAAATGTCTGCCAGTTAGGCTAGTTTTTATAGCCAGTGTTATCCCAAACAAGATGACAACTCAAACGGATTGTCCAGAACAAAATGCTGAACTTCACATTTGAGTTCAAGAAATCAGAAGTTAGTCATATGACAACCAGCATGCTTTCTTGTGCTGGGGAAGCATTTTGTGTTTGCTGTCCATTTGGTTACAGTGTTTTGAAAATCATTGCATTTAGAGGGCAAGCCCGAAATGAAGTTAACCATGTTCACTGAATCATTCAGTACTGACAGGAGTTCTCCTGGCATATTTTTAGAGGCAAGGGCCTCTCGATGAATGCTCCAGTGTAGCCAGGAAGCCAGAGGAGCAACCTTCTTGATGTGAGCTACGACTCCTATTTCCCTGTGATCAGCATAGCCCCGTTGGTACAAATTCCCACACAGCATTGCCAGTTCATTCCGTTGGCTTTTGTGGAAATCTTCAGTTAAATTCCATTAAAAATATCTTCTCCTGTTGTTTGGTTAGGGAACTCCTCACATGCTGTACCCTAAGTAATGAATGTAAACCAAAAGGTACAGTATGCCAGATTTGTAATGTCTGTTTTCTCATCAATTTGCGGTGAGTAAGATTCACTTTTTTGACCTGATTGGCTATTTGGCAGAGCATGTTTTCAGACGTGCTACTGATATGACAGTATTATCAGAAGGAAGTATCATATTCAACTTTTTAGCTGCCTTTTCACAGATCTTTCACAGAACTTACCATTTTTTTCACAACAAAATCTTTCTGCGACTGTGTGTGGCTTTTTTTTAGCCACTCTATAGCTCACATGGTAAGATCCCTTTAATGTGTCCTTGCAAGATCTGATAAATCTGATCTAAAAAATACAACTGGTTTGTCTTTTAAGTTGGTAATGTGGTCACGTAAATTAGAGGCTTTAAGGCCTCTGTTAGCTAAGACCTTGCTAAACACCACACATTGTGGCTGTGACATTTTAAGTTCGCCAGTCCATGTAAATCCCATTTCAATATAACTTTCATCATACTTGCCTTTCTCATCTGTTCGATTGTGAAAAAGGTACAAAAGGGTTGGAGAGGGTTGAGTGACCCTACCATATAATGTAAGGTGCACTTAAACCAGTGAGTGGGTCTCCGCTTGCTTTCTGGCATAATGGAGGTTACAGGACAGGTTCTTTAAGATTAGGTAAGACTATTGATCCCGAAGGGAAATCGATGAAAAACAGTCGACACAGACACTTAGCAGTTTACAACACAGATACTTAGCAGTGGACATTCAGCAATGTCAAATATAAAACAAAACCGAGCACTCCAGAAAATTAACAAAAGCTATTGTATTGAACAAACATAATCTTCGTCTCAGGCTCTTTAGTATTGTTTCTCTATTTAGTATCTCTTTCCTTGTGTGTTGTTCCTTATCTATGTGGAACAAAAAAAGGAGTACTTAATAAACAACCTCTAAAAACTGTGTCAATACTCCCAAGAGAAGATTTGGGTGTTTTGTATGGAGAGACAGTCTGAAGTAATTTTATTTTTCAGCTATTAGTGTAAATGCAGTGCGAGTTAACAAGTGGGGTGGAGGACTTGATAGGTGGAACAATGTCATTGCTAAAAATTAGATAGAAGAAATGTTGTATGCCTTGTTGAGCAGTCTGACTCGGTGTTCTGACATTTGTAGCATGCACAACAGGGAAAAGAACGATGTGTGCACGTCATTACAATTGTACGCAGTTTGAATATTCACATCGTTTCCCACTACAAACACCACAATGCCTAACACAGGGCTTGTACCAAATAATTTAACAGAGAGAATTAACATTTATAGTTCAAGGTACCTTGTAAACTACATTGGTCACTTCTGTGCGGTGTATAAACACATACCAATCTCAGTATTTTAGCAAAATATGTACTGTCTCATGGGGAACTCTTTCAGAGTTGGCTAATGGCCCATCACAATGCTTATTTTAGCATTTCCTCTGAAGTCAGCCTCACAGTTGTTCACATAAAAACATTTAAATTGTTTTTTTAAACTAATAGACTAAGAAACATATGCTACAAAAACATTGTCCATAATAGCTTGAGTGTTTCCTTCAGAAGTGATTTATGATTTTTTTTAAATCTTGCTACAGCTTTTTTTCTTACCTTTAGGTATAACTGGTGATGTTTCAGACATCAATCCTTTCTTTAAGCAAATGGAATTATGGCTTGAGTTTAGAACAGGTATATGTTCATTCCATTTAATAAGGTTTAGATTGTCTGTGTGGAAGAATAAGAGCATTTGTCTCGCAAGTTTCCTAATTCAGTTTGCAGAATAAAACGCAGGATGACTGCTCTTTGAATTTAACATTGATTTTTGATTTTTTAATTTTATATTAAAATAATATTAAAACAATATATACATTGTAATTGGTATTATTTGCTGTGATGATGAGGTTTAAAGCAATGTGCACCTGCTGAAAATGTACAGGTTATTGACTTTGAAGGCTAGAAACTGTTTTAAGAGGGGCCAGTTGCCTTCTTTATTGTTTCCTCCAAAGTTTCCCAAACCTCTTCTGTGACTTTTATCTTTTTCAGCCCACCATGGACTGAGAATTAATTTTGAAAGGTGCAGTTTTATACATTGCATGAAGAACATACATACATCTAATTTTATTCAGTGGGAAACCTTTGTAATACTTTACAATACATGTTTGTGAGACTTTTGTAAAGTGCAGCTTTGGCAGTATTAATACGCAGCAGTTCCTAAATCTGGTTTCATTTATTTGATGTGGCTTATTTGGTCATCTTTCAGTGGTAGTAATTGTCAAGTAGTAAAGTTCGTAATGGCTATTTGATCTGGGTGGAGGATTTATGTTAACATGGCATTGGCAATCTTAATTCCACGTGTGTACATCTTACGTTTTAAAATATTTAGAACTTGTAATATACCGCATGTTCTTTCTTATCATAACTCTTTTAACTCTGATAATAAAAGGCAAGATGAAGAAGGTGGAGGCCTTGACAGATTTATGTCTTTCCATTAAATACAAAAGACCCATTTACCCACCTCTCTCTCCACAGTGAATTGGGACAAGATGCACTATTACCGGTATGAGAACGCAGAAGTCAGCTGCTGTTATAAATACCTGATGTTTAGTTACAACATCATCTTCTGGGTAAGTACTAGCAGTAATATTTAAGTTTTAGTGTAACAAAAAAATTAAAGTGGTATCACAAGAAAATTAGAAGTTGCACTAACACATTTTTATTATCTTGTGTGACATAGGCCTGTAGTCCTTATAGTAGTAAGCAGTTTGCTAACACTTAACTCATTGGTGTCTGGCTAAATAATCAAGCTTGCTAAAGTTGTATGCTTAAATGCGTAGTGTGAATGACACAAAACCTCACCTCTTACAGATAGATATGTAATAAAAGAGTGGAAAAAAAGAACTGAAGCCCAGGCAGTATGCAGAGGTTATTAACTGAAGTGTTGTAATTACATGACTCTACAGCATATCTGACTCACTTCATACTGCAGGAGGGAACTGAGTGTAACAGACTGCTTTTCTTACCCTAGTCCTGCATGCCCTTGATTCTGCTCAGACGTGCAGTTCATATAGACACTTACTCAGAGTCACCTGGCCTGCATGGTATGTCCCAATAAAATTCTCTTTGATCCTGTGAGAAACAGACTAGTGGAATACACAGTCTCACAGAAAGGAGACAATATGCTTGGGGTGGAGCAGTGGCACTGTGGCTAAGGATCTGTGCTTGTGGCTGGAAGATTCACATTCAAGGTTCAAATCCCGCAGCCAGCAGAGGAATCCTACTCCATTTGGGCCCCTAAGCAAGGCCCTTAACCCCAACTGCTCCAGAGACGCCACATAAATGGCTGACCCTGCACTCTGACCCCAAGCTTCTCTCCTTGACTGTGTGTCTCATGGAGAGCAAGCTGGGTTATGCGAAAAGACAAATTCCTGATACAAGAAATTGTATATGGCTAACAAAGTGATCTTATCTTATATGCTCTGCCAATCAAGAGAATGCATTTCCGTCATTGTGATGTTAGAGGTTGAGCTGTGTCAGTGCCCTTTCTCTCACTGTCTAGTTTCTAACCTGCTGCAGTTCTGACCATTGCAGCCAAATGTAGTCTGTCAGCGCAACCACACGCACCCACGCATCACCGAGATAGACTCATCACCTCGCTTCGTCCTTGTGATCATTTTCACACAGCAACAACACGTGTCATCAGTCCAACTGATGGAGGAGGATGACTAAATAGTTATGGTCTGCAGGTCTGGAGACAACATTTCTGGTGAACTCCAACAGTGGAACCAATTGCTCCTTAGCAATTAATCAAGGTTACATATATATCACCATTAGGGTTTTAAAAAAAAAGATACCTTGTAGTTGATACTCTGTTGTAAACACCAATTAGACCACTTGGTGGGAAGGTCCATATGGGATGATCTGGGCAGGAACGTCTGCTCCAGTATTAAAGATGTTTGTAATGTGACATTTATGCTTATTTTATGAGCTGATATGACATAGGGCTCCGAGATTAGTGATCTGGAATGTGCTTCTCCAGCCTTTCATAGGTATCCTATGAGTGTATCAGCACCCTGATATACAGCTTGTTGCTTCCAATGCTGGCCTCAAAACCTTTAAGCCTGTGACTATTACAGTAAACACCTTGTTCATCAACCTTTATAATTACAAATGTTGATCAGCATGATAATGTCAGATTACCTCTTACAGAAGTTTTTTTGGAACAATCTGAGTTTGTTGCAGTTTCTTTTGATGACGAGTCTGCATTATTTGCTAACACTAGATAAATTTAAGATCTGGCAACAGATGGTACTTTGTCTTTTTAATAGTGTTTAGGAAGATGTTATGACTTCCATAATTTCCTTAGAAATATCCCAAGACTACGCCCTATGCTATCATTAACTGTGGCTGAAAAGCTGATCAACATATTTGTATTCTCTCGAATTGACTACTGCAATGCTCTACTCCCTGGGGTATCTAAATCTACTCTGAACAAGCTGCAGTATGTCCAAAATTCAGCAGCCAGAATCCTGACCAGGTCTAGTGCAAGTGTTCACATTACCCCTATCCTGGAGTCCTTGCACTGGCTTCCGGTCAAATTCCGCGTAGACTTTAAAATCCTCATGCTCACCTACAAGGCTTTACATGGCTTGGCACCTCAATACCTGTCTGAACTTTTATCGCCCTACTCCCCACCTCGCAACCTCCGCTCTTCAAATTCTGCCCTCCTTACTGTCCCCCAAGCCCGTCTACATTGTATGGGCGACAGGGCCTTCTCCTGCTATGCCCCCAAGCTCTGGAACTCTTTGCCCAAGGATATTAGAGAGTCACCTTCTCTAAACTCCTTCAAATCCAGACTCAAAACCTTCTTCTTCAGAAAAGCCTTTACTTAACTGGTTCCATTCTTCACCCCTCTGCTCTTCTTAATACCATCTTCCACGGTCTCCTCTATTATTATTGTTGTATTGTTGTAATTATTGTGTCCTATCTTGTGAAATTTTCTTATTTATTGTTGTAGTCTTCTTATTTATTGTTTATTGTCATCCTGTAAAGCGCTTTGAGAAGCCACCTTTAAAGGCGCTATATAAAATAAAGTTTATTATTATTATTATTATTATTATTATTATTATAAGTAATACCGATTCCTGTCCAGATTCCTGCATAATGTCAATTTCCATTTGCTGCTCAGTAAACGATAGATCCCACTGACTTATCAATTTTTTGGATAAATTGTAGGGGCATCCATGGAATACATGCTGTACAGTTCATAAAAGTAAAATATAAATTAACATTTAATATAATGTTTATATGTGTACGTATGTACATGCTTAGTGTCTTCCTTTTCTTAGGTCTGTTTTTTTACCTAAGAAGAATGCATTTTAGAATGTTGGATGTTGTTCGTTTTTTGCAGAAATATTTAGGTAAAAAAATTGTGTTAAATTATGCTGCTCTATTTTTGATGGCAGTTTGTGCATCAGTAACCCCCTGTATGTTGGCAAAGGGTAGCATTGTGGGGAACCTAGGATCTGTATCAGTGTTGACAGTGATTAGAAATCCACCTACTGGACCATGAAATGTTTGTGTACTGCGGCATTTGTGTATTGGAAAAATGACATTTTGGTGTAATCTCACCCATTTACCCAGTAAATCGTTTGTGAGTCAACATTTTCAGTTTTAAAGAACACCAATGTTAAAAACGATGCCTTAATCATTTCAAATGATCATGCTTGTCCCCATATAGGATCAATCTAAATTCAAAGAATTTAAATTGGAAGAACAATCTTGTGGCCTGTGTAAAATATTTGTGCCTTGATCTGCCAAAATAGATTTTGTCATGCCATTTGGGTTTTGTTGATCATTTGTGGTCTGGTGCCTGACCTCCTACCACAAATAACTTTTGAGTAGACTTATGGGGAACTAGTTTCTAACTATTAAAAGGTTGACCCAGCCCAGGCTTACTCTCCCCTTTCTAAAGTGACTGTCTTTATCCTGAATTTGTTTCAAAATAGATTTTTGGAGATGTTTGAGAAACCAGAAGGTTTGCAATCCCAGTTTCTTTAAATTCCTTTCATCCCTCAAGGTTTGAGTCAAGCAAACCTCCTGCTAGCAGCAGAGCACAATCTGAAGTGATAGATTCTCATTTCCTTTCTGGCTCCCCTGCCTGTGTCAACAGGAAGTGTAGAAACAGTTTTTAGGCGTTACCATCAAATTTCATCCAGGCTTGCAGCAATCTGCTCTCTTGTGACAAAAGTGCTGGTTTCTGCCTTGCACTAACCCCTCATGCACTTTACTCACACTTATTATTTTAAACCCTTGTCAGCCCTGCAAACATGCCGTGAACAAGCGAGCAGTCAGGAAAGCTCATTGCCTCGGTACGGTACCATGATGTGTATTTATTTTTTTATGCTTTTCTCTGCAGCTTGCTGGAGCAGCATTTATTGCAATTGGATTCTGGGCATGGAGTGAGAAGGTAAACTAAAAACCACTATGAGTAACATTGAATGCAGTCTCTTTTTCTGAGGATTGCTGGCTTTGTGTCAGCAATGAGTTATGTTCCAGGGCTCTGAAGGTTGAACAAATGGGCCCTTAATGTCTCCTGTTGGTTGTAAAGGGGGGAGGTAGATTCTTAACTGTGGGATTAGTAGACTTTGATGGGTTCCCTTGATTCCCTTGATTCCTGGTGAGGCAGTGGGCTCCCTGTAGCTGGATCCTGGACGTGAAACAGACGTGGACAGATGAGAAGCCAACAGCTCAGGCAGCAGAGATAAAACACTATCCATTTCACCTGTTAGTATGTGTGCACCTACCCCTTATCTCCTCCTTGCTTGCAAGAGGGTGGTTGTTGTGGGAGTTTGGGGAGGGGCACGTAACTGAGTCGGAAAGCTCCAGAGCTCAAAGAAGCCAACGTGTCCATCTCCCGCCCCTGCTGTTTGAAATGACGCAGTGTTTCATGGCCACTCGGCATCTCAGGTAATCAGATCAGTGTTCCAGTATCTAGGTTGATTCAGTAGCAGATTAATAAGGCTATAGATTACAGGCTGCTACATTATTGTCTGCCTTATATCCTAGGAAATTGTTTTGACTCTGTAATAGAACTTCAGGAGATACTTCATTACCTCAACGTAATATGGATTTCTGTGCTGTTGGATACTGACCCTCTGGCTTGTTTATGTTATATTGTTGTTCTACTTAAATTTGTTGTGCATGCAAATTCTATTTCTGTTGTCAAAGACTCGCAGATGATTTTTAAGCAACTGTAGTATTAGAAAAACTGTCTTTTTTCAGAAATTACATTTTGGCAATACTTGTGCCAATCAAGTAAATATAGCATGCTGCTGGGCTTTAGTTAACATGGTAAAATTGACTTGGAAGCCAACATTTCTTTATGAAGCACCTTGTTGAGATGAGATGTATGGTCCTATCACAATAAAGTGCAGGAAGTTTCAGATGGGTAGCATGGTGGTGAGCATTGCGCCGTGGCCCTGGGTTCAGTTTTGGTCCTGGAATCCTATTTGCGTGGCGTTTGTATGTTCTTCCCATGTTCGCATGGGTTTCCTTCGGGTGCTCCAGTTTCCTCCCACAGTCTGAAAATATAGTGTTAGGTTAATTGACAACTGTGTAAATTAGCCTTTGTGTCTGTGTGTCTGTGTGTCTGTGTGTCTGTGTGTCTGTGTGTCTGTGTGTCTGTGTGTCTGTGTGTCTGTGTGTCTGTGTGTCTGTGTGTCTGGGGCAAATCCATTGTATCCCATCAGGGACCTCACTGCTTGCTGAGATAGGCCCTGGCGACCCTGAATTGAAGCGATTAAAAAAATTCATTAATGGAAGTAATAGATGTTGATTTACATAGTACTTTACATAGTACATTATGGAAGATAATGAAATGAGTCTTACATCAAATTGCAGAGAGGTTGGCTGATTAGTAGATAATATTTATACATGATAAATATATATTTTATTTGTTGTGCCTTTAAAAGTTAAATATCTAAGAGCTTTATGGTAGGTTAATAAATATTTAAAATAAAATAAACAATTATAAGGATAACAAATTACAAATAGAGATTGATAGATGTTGAAATGTTAGAATAGGTAGATGTTATTGTATTCCTGTTGGGGAGCTTACAGTATAGGGCTTTACCACAGTATAGAATGGAATGAAGTATAGAAAACCTCTTTAGACTGAGCTGTGTGTGTCTCCCTTTCTGTCCTACAGGGGGTGCTGCTGGATCTGACCCAGGTGACAAGGATACACGGCTTTGACCCAGTCTGGGTGGTTCTGGTCGTGGGCGGTGTCACCTTTATCCTGGGTTTTGCAGGATGCGTTGGGGCTCTAAGGGAGAATATTTGCCTGCTGAAGTTTGTAAGTCTCCTCCTGTGCTTCACAGCTTTTTATCCTGTATGTCAGTTTTGTCCCTCTCTGCTTAGATGGGGCACTCGCTGTGGTTGTTTTGAGCTGATTCAAGAGTAATTAAGACTTCAATGTCTGGAAGTCTTGGCAGTAAGAAGGAAAGTGAGCCTGATTTACAGCTACCTTTCCAAAAGAGTTGCTTTTGGTTCCTGGATTCTTTACAATTTTCCTTCAATATTCATCCATATTGAAATGTTAGTGCCATGAGTTCCTATTTCCCCTACATGAAACTGATCCCTGTATAGATCTGCTTCCTGACAGCAGATCTATACAGCACTCAGTACTGGCCACATAATCGCCAAGACTTTTCTCCTGGATTGCACCCAATGCTGCCTTTCCTTTCCACATATTTTTGGGTTCTCTCTAGGTGGCTTTGATGCTGATGTTTGCCTTTTTCTCTGTTCTTCCATCAGACAGATCATGTAGACTTTGGCTTGGAATTATTTATTTTCTCAAGTGTTGAACAGCATAGTCAAGAGGAATGATCTATTTTTAATGCTCTTTACTGAAATGTCTGAGTTCCATATGTACATATCAGAGTAGTTTAAGCCATTACTTTTTTTTCCCTTGAAAGATGTAATAGTAAATATTGGAAAGGTGAAGATTGTCATATCACACCTGTGGCATTTGTAATTAGATGTGAGGTGTTCAATCAATTCAGGATTCCCACCTGACAGGCAAACAAAACACAGCTTTCTGCTAACACCAGAACAGGATAAAACATCAATACAGCATCCTCAAAGTTCATAGTGTTACTTCTGGTGAAAAAGCTACAATACTATCTCACTGAAATATGTTCGAGACATTGTTTTCTTAAGGAGAAGGAAAAGCAGTTCGCTTACTGACAATCTGTACAAAGAACTCCCCTCTGGGATATCAGCTGAAGTAACACCAGAAATAACTTTGCAATAACCTGTTGCATTGATGTGCAACGGAACGGAAACAGAGACAGGATGTTATTGTACTGAGAATCCAAAACCTAGGATGGTTATGTCACCAGAGAACAGTTCTGTTTTAAGTGATGGAATTATGATCCATCAATCCATTTCATAACTGCTTCATCCAATAATGGGCCGAACGGGGGTCTGGATAGGCAGGATACATCCTGGACGGGACGCCAGTCCATCGCAGGTCAAACCCAGACAAAACCACACCATCGCACCAGGGCCAGTCTTCCCAGAAGCCAGTTATAACCTACCAATATGTCTTTGGATTGTGGGAGGAGACTGGAGCACCCAGATGAAACCCACATGATCACAGAGAAAACATACAAAGTCTGTGCAGATAGCACCTTAGCACCTTGGGAATTGAATCCCAGGGAACCAGAGCTGCAGGATCGCAGTTCTAACCACTGTACACCATTCCACCCACTGAAATTATGATGTTCACATTAAATGACAAATTAAGAACTACACGTAGTGTTTTGGTAAAGCAAGACAAGAAGTCCCATGAAACTATGAATGCAGTGCATGACCAGAAACAGAATGGATTTGAAAACCCATACTGTAACTACTATCCAGAATAAATGTGGCAGCTGATTTAAATTGTGCAATGTGGCAGTTTGTATTAGTCCAGTAAACCAACTGGATTGAAAGTAGCAAGGAGTAAGTGCTCGTGTTTAAATTGTCATTGAATTTGAATAAGCCTTTTTGGATTTTCTTTCCCCCGTTCAGTTTAAAAATGCTGCCTTGTATACTGCTGGACTTGCATAAACTTTTTGAGCAGAAACATTATAGAATGTGAGTTTTGTAGTGCAGCTGTTTGCTGGAAAAGGCCACACTTCTACACAATAAAGGAATGCTGTTGTAAATCAATTTCCTGTTGCGGTTCTAACATCCCATTGGCTGGTGATTTGTCTTTGGCGCTGAAAACGTGTTATTTGCCTCTTCCAGTTCTCCGGGCTGATAGGCTTCATCTTCTTCCTGGAGCTGACGGCAGCCGTGCTGGCCTTCGTTTTCCAGGACCCTCTTCGGGACTGGCTCAGCGACTTCTTCCTCAACAATATCAAGGGCTACAGAGAGGACATCGACCTGCAGAACCTCATCGACTCGCTGCAGAGGCTGGTGAGCTGAGGCGCAGCTTGGGCACTGCGTCACTCGCATTTCTTAAAGACTGGCTTGGTACACATTCATGTTTGAGGGAGTGGAGCTGATCTAAATTGTTTTAAGAACCCAAAAGTTACAAGTGAAAAGCCTTCTGGTCCAAGTTTGTCTTCTAAGGATCATAGGGCAGCAGCGTCAACAATGCAGCTAAGCAGCTTGTTCATCAAGGCTTGAACAGACATTTAACATTAGTCTACGTAGAAAATGGGGATGGTAATGAAACACATGAAAATGCTAAATTGGAAAAATTTAGTTTGGAGTTTGGAGGTCTTTAGTGTCACACTGCTGCTCGATAGTGATCTTTATACGTCAATAGTCCTGATTTGTTAATGGGGCAGCATGAAAATTTGGTTTGCAGTGCTGGTTGGGAAATTTAGTTTTTACACTGCTCGTGACAGAGTCATTAGCAAAAGGCACATACCCTACTTTGATGTTGGAATCTTGCAACAAGCCTTTAAAAATCCACTTTTCACTACACATACAGATAAGGACACACTGCAAGCAAGCAGTCAAGGTCAAAAACTGCCATGAAAGTGACTCCTTGCTTTGTCTCCCCATTCCCAGAATAACTGCTGTGGTGCCCAGGGTCCCAATGACTGGAATGGGAATGTATATTTTAACTGCACTACTGAAAACCCAAGCCGTGAGAAGTGTGGGGTTCCCTTCTCTTGCTGCCTAAGTGATCCTGCTGTGAGTATTCAGTAACTAAAGTGAAACTAAAGTTTTCACATTTTGTCAGTGCTTGGAAATCTGTGACCCTTGTTCTTGTCTGGGGCAGTAACCTTTCCCTGCTGCGTAATGGGTGGGACATCACATGCTGTGCTTTTTGTGCACTTTATTTATTATAAAGACTGCTATTTCACTGATGCATACAAAGTCAAAATGATATAGATTTTTTTTAAATATCTGGTGCAAAGGAGTTATGTACAGTGATCCTGCTGTGGAATATACAGTACATAAAGTGAAACTAACGTTGTTTTGTCATTGCTTGGAAATCTGTGACCCTTGGTTCTTGATTAGGCCAGTGACCTCTCCTTACTGTGTAGTGAGTGGGACTGTGCTGCATTTTTTTATGCATTTGATTTTCTGTGAAGACTGGTGTTTCACTGATGCATACAAAACCAAAATGATATTCTGATTTTTTTTAAGTTTCTGGTGCAGAGAAGTTTTGTTTGTTCTATTTCATGTGCTTACAGTTGGTACATTGAACTTTTCTGGATTACTTTATTTTTTTGCACCTATTACCATTGAAAGGAGCTGTAGTCGTTTAAATGAAAGGAACTTTAGAACTCTCAGTTCTATCAATTATTTTAATGTTTTTCATATATTTCTTATGTATCATTTCTAAATTTAGAAGCTTAAGATAAATGCCATCATATTGTAGGAGGTACCCAGTTAACGTAACGGTGTGCCACTGTTTTTACGGGCATGGTTTGTCTCCACAGGATATGGTTGTGAATACGCAGTGTGGCTATGACATCAGGAGCAAAAAGGTAAGATTTGCCACGACTTTCTGGCTTTGACAGACTACTGTTAGGGAGTGTAATAAACCTGACAGTGACCAACAGTGGGGTAAAATTGAGCATGATGTATGCTGAAACACTGAAATCTTAATTTGTTTTTAGTGCTCTGTTATTTAGTGTGACAGTTTTTGGAAACCCTCCCTGTTCTGCAGTTTAAGGAACATGAAAGTGATTTAATCTTCACTTACAGAATGTGAATTTGTTTTGATCACCTTTCAAGTTGTATGAACCATTACTACAGTAATAAAAAAAGGTCTTGGCTAATCTTTTGCTGCCCCTGGTCCGTGGTAATAAGAAATGAGGGAGTAGGCTGGTGGTCTTGACTCATCTCTTGGTGGTGTTGATGCTCTCCCTAGGAAAACATCTGGAGTACTGCCATTTACACCAAGGGCTGCATTCCAGCGCTCGAGGCATGGTTACCACGGAATATCTACATTGTCGCGGGAGTTTTCATTGTCATCTCCCTCCTGCAGGTACGGTGAAGGGTGTCCCAGGGCTGGCCATTCTATGTGGAAATCCATGTTCTGTGATCTCTGTGCTCACTGGTGCTGCTGTAAAGGACTGCTCTGGCTCTGTTTTAAGACTTGTCAGGCAACATTCTGACTGATTCTTCTCTTCTCCCTCCCTTTTTATCTGATGTACATACTTCTCTTTCCACTCTGTTAGTTTAACTTGTTGCTCGTTTTCACTCTCAGTCTTTAAGTCTAATACGACTCTCCTTCTTGCCGCCCCATTTTTTCCTTTTGTCATGGAAAGCTGATGTCCTGTTTTCTACCAGCCTTCACTCACCCACAGGGCTGTAGTGTTGCACTGTATTTGTAATTGACTGTTAAAATCCTCTCTCTCACTTCAATCTCCTGATGTGAACCCGTGTGCTAGAAGGCTGATATCACTTGTCCATTTCTCCCCCTAGATGCTGGGGATCTTCTTGGCTCGGACTCTGATTGGAGATATTGAATATGTGAGGTCCAACTTCATTAGGTATTGAATACGTGAGGCCCACAGGGCAACAGTGAGAGAGACTGGACATCTGTTCCCATTCATAATCCTGTCACTGCTGGAGGCCTTGCAGGACACCCAGAAAGATCTTGAGAAAAAGACTTGAGCTTTTGTGATGGCAAAGTGCTTCTTTACGGCAGCCTCAGAAAGATGCCAAATTTACTGCTCCTTTTGTGTGCTTTGTCAACACTGGGAAGGGGGCGCTGATGTACTTGGCGCTCAGAAGTCACATTTGCAGCTAATTCACTTTCTGTAGAGAAGTTTAATTTAGATGTATTCCATTTCGAGGAGCTTATGAATTCCATTTGTAATATTTTGTTCTTGTGAGTAACATGAAGGTTTCCTAGATTTTCATTTTATGTGATCCCTGCTAAACTAATGATGTCACCCTTCATTCGTTACTCTGAGCTTTAAAGTTGAAAAATGTATAAAGACAAAAACATCTGCTTTATTCAGAGTTTTGAGAATTTTACCTTGTGTTCAGTTTCTTTGTATTTATTTTCCCTTATTGAGAGAAGAGAAGATTTTTGTAATGCTAAAATGCCAATTAGAAAACAAAGCACCTGTAATTTAATGTTTACGTGATGAGTAACGAGGCAGTATTACTGCCTTTTACTTCTATGGAGCTTGACTGAGAAAAAGGCTATGACATCAGAGCCCCATATGCTGTGAAATGAGTCCCCCCCCCCCCCCCCGACATTGGAAGCTATTCTTGCAAGAAACACTTGTACAGCTCTATGAGGTGTGTACATTCAGTCTGTTGTGTGTGAATATGTGTGTTGCCACTGCACCAATCTAAGTAGCCCATTAGTACTACTGCAACCTCAACTGTTTGATACATCCTTGTTCTTTACAAGGTAATGCTAAGATTTTACTAAAGGCATGTTGAGGTCTAGTACCTACATCATAGAAGTCCACGTGTGTTAGTTTGTGACAGTGGAGGTCTGCCTGTTCTTTACCTGATACTCTTTATTTTATGTTCAAGCGATATTGCACTTTTCTATGCAAAATCCATAAGTCCACTCTTTGTTCAACAATTGACCTTTTCACTGTAACCGGTGGATTTTGCAGCAGTTGGGTGATAAGAAAAGTAGCTAGAAGTCCATGGTCAGTGTGCACTGCCAGGTTGCAGATGTCTTATGGCATACTGAAGGGTTAGCACCAACTGGACAAGTGGTCCAGTGTTGTGCATCTGTCGGTAATCTTAAGCACCTGGAAGATCCCATTTGTTGCTGTTGAAGTGACAGTTGTCTGACTGAAGCCCACCTAACGTCACTCAGTTTTGGTCAACTGTGTTGTCACTTAGAGAATCCTAGTCACATTTGATTAAACGCATTGGCCTGTGTTACAGGAATCAACCTGCACTGCAAGCAGCTTTAAAGCCACTAGGAGCCCCCCAAAGCTTTTCTGTATAGATTGCTGAGAGACCATGGTGGAGGTGAATTGTCAACGTTAGGCAAATAGTTCCTGATCTGTGTTCTACCCTACTTCTATGCTACAGACTTTGTCCTTTTAATGTATACCTCATTAAAAAAGTGCACACAACTTGCTTTTTGAGTCTGAATTAAAGAAATTAGACTGCATGTATATCTAAAGCACTCTTTTAAGTAGTGAATAAATTCGAATGTGAAAAATATTTTTTGACCCATGCATTGCTCTGAAAATGTTTGACTTGCATGCAAGAAACTTCTTTTGATAGTCCACATATTGACAAGAGTTTAAAATTAAAGATTCATCAGCTGTACCCTTTTATAAATGTTGACATAAAGGGAGTGGGAGGGGGTGTATCTTGATTCATATTGCACAGTGTTTACAGAAAACTCCTGGTTTGCACGCAACAGTCCAGAAGATATCGACATGCCACTCAATGTGATGTTTCAATGAAATAAAAGCATTGTAGCCACAAGTGGGGAAATATCCTGCATATGTTATGTTTTCCTAGCTATGTTTTTAAAGCTGTACCTGACTAGATTCAGCACAGGCTGTATACAGTAATTCTAACAAAAAGATTAAAGTGATGCATTAATCTAAAAGGGCAAATAACTGAGAGTGAAGAAAACATCTAAAAGCTGAGGAACCCTTGAGCAGTTGATGTGAGGAGCCTATTTAGATTGTGTGTCTGCGTGTGTGGGAGAGAGATGCAGCCGTATCTGGCCCGTATAACAGAGGTAGTGGCCATTAGCACAACATCAGACGCAGCAGAATGGTGCTCTCTCCCTGAGTCTGACACTTCTCAGAAGCACACCTTTACAGTCCCTTCCAAATGATTTCCCATTGTAATGGGAATGAGTTCTTTAGGGAATGTTTTATTTTTAAAATTTTGTACAAAGTGATTTGTTTTCTACTGTATTATATGTAAACCTCTGCTAGACTTCTTTGTACATAATATTACAATTTTTTCATGCAATAAATGTACATTTTTTTGGAGTTTCTGTGCTTCTTGGACTTAACGTTTTAAAACTTGTGCGTTACGATCTTTTCCAAACCTACTGCAATTTCAAAGTAATATGTAATTTGAGGGCTGCAGCACATTGGAGCCCCCTGCTGTGTCTATGAGCATACAACTATTCCCTTTTAAGTATAAAAGTTCCTTTTATACCACTTATATCCAAGATTTGTAACAAATTTGGACCACTATATTTTCCCAGCTTCTTACATGGAGCTAATTTGAAATTAAAAACAGGTTTCAATTTTTTGCATGAAAGTAATTATTAACGTTTTCACCACTGTCAAGCTCAAGGATATCCAGGTCATATCAGTGGCTCAATTTTGTTATGCATAGGAGAACGAGCTATAAGATGCTCATGGAAGCGTGTGGTTCTGTGTGTGTGTATTTTGGAGTCCTCTTGGAAACTAACAGGTTCTCGGGCTAGCTGTGGCCTAGTGTGACCTGTGACATACAGTGATGTGAAAAATAAAAAACATCCTTTTTTAGATTCTATGATTCTATGGACCTTCACCAAGTCCAAATAGTAGATAAATCTAACCTGGTGTGATAACATAAACTCTAATTTATCATTTATTAAACACAAAATCAACCGAAAATTCAGAATCCTTGTGTTTAGAAAGGATTCGCCCTTACTGCTATCATATCAATTAAAAAGGTGATGAGAAACAGGTACTGCTTAACAAGTGTACATTAATAGATTATCATCAGGAAGTGCTTTCCACATGTATATAAAATCAGAAACATTATCAGTTTGGTCTGGAGCATTTAGGTTTGTGGTAGCACATCATGCCTAGGTGTCAGAGATGGTGTCAGAGAAAAGTTTTGCTGGTCATCAGTTTGGAAAGGTTATAAATCCATATCCAAACAATATGAAGTACATCATTCCACAGTGAGATAATTTACAAATGGAGAAACTTCAAGACGGTTACCAATCTACTCAGGAGTAGGTGTCCCAGGAAATTTACCCCAAGATCAGACCATATGATTCTTCTAGAAAATGCAAAGAACCCCAAAACTACATCCAGGGATCTGCAGGTTTCTATCACATTGGTGGTGGTGGAGGAGAATCCCCGTTACCTGTAAAGCGCTTCGAGTGGAGTGTCCAGAAAAATGCTATATAAGTGTAAGCAATTATTATTATTATTATTATTATTATTATT